GCAGGAACAGAGAAAGTATGTCATATGAAAAATGTAAATAAATACCTGTTGCAAGAAAAGGGGAGAGGTTTGACAGTACAACAAAGTCAGTCTGTCCCTCACAACACGTTGACATCATCCTGTTGTACTGGGAAGTTACCTTGTTGCACTTGCACAGGGGGTAGAACATTAGCTGACGTGACGTTGTAGACCCGACAGCATACACAATACAACAATGAGATGTCATGACACCATATATACTATTCACACTTTGCTAAGGATCAAATCGTGGATTCAACAGAAAACTATCATGTGGGGTCAAATTTGGTTTAAATATCTAAACTTATTGTAAGCATGGTTCCTAGGTTTCAGTATGTCATTGTATCCTGTGGATCCCGTACCTGATATTGACAGGTGTTGTTTATTTGTCAATGACTCTTCCATGATTTGCAAAATGGTTGATTGGTGCCATGAAAACCATTTTTTATGGTTACTCATGTATCAAGTGCATAAGGTTAGAATAATGTGGCTGTCTGCCTAAAGAAGGGTTGCCAGATTTATTTTTTATCCAGTTCTAAATGGATACGATTTCAAATCATAAATCTACGTTTAAGTAAAGTTGTGAATTTTTGTGATCCCTATCAAAGCGTGAGTAGTATATCATTGCACCACTACTCCAAGGCTAACGACGTTGAGTGACGCAAGCGTCGCTAAAATCTCGCCTAAAGATTACCGTTCAACTTGTAAAGCAAGATTGACAGAGGCCAAAATGGTAGTCTTGCTTGACAAGAAGTCAGCCAGTCTTGCTTCGGGTAAAGTCCAAATTCTGAAGCAAACATAACATGAAATAATAAGAAAGAAAGCGTGTTCACAGTGTAGGTATCATTTGCATATACAGTTACCATTACCTTATAACACCAGTCACAAACACAAAGCACTTTCTACTTAAACAAGACATATAAACAGTGCCTACAATTTGCAATGTTTGAAATAAACCAAAAACCCAGCCAGACATCTGGGCTGGTAACTTCAAAAACTTACCAGCCCAGAAGAGATTTAACCAGTCCTTCTTAAATAGACAGTGCCAGTGGACACGTTATCTGAATATTTTTTTCACCCGTCCTTCGGGCTGGCTAGCTGTAAAATTAGACCGTGGGGCAGAAATCTAGCCCGTTTCGGGCTGTCGGACGGGCCTTATTTCATACACTGTCAGTACAAATAGTGTTTTATTAACAGTGCTGATGTACAAGTACACGAAATAAGTGTTTAGTGCTAAACAGAAAGTAATCGCCGGTTTCAAAACAATGCATTACTGGTAAGATTTTAATACGTATTCACCATAGGGCACGTTTTCAAAATATGGGATTATAATACTGATACAATTGCATATTGTTGCTGATACATAATGTATAAACTATTATTACTTATATATTTATTGCTCATACAAAGTATTTTAACGTTTGGAGAATCTACTGTTATCTAATCTAACCTAATCTACTATAGATTTCTTTCTTAAAGTTGATAAAATTGGTTTGCTTTTGAGTGTTCATTCAGTTGAGAGAAGCCAGAAAGTAGAAACATGTAATGCATGATGGCGTAAGCAGTACGGCGAATTAATATACTATTCACACTTTGCTAAGGTGTGCCACAGCAAGATGTGTCACTTTAATACAGCTCAAGCACGACGTAAAACCCAATTTCACCTCACCTCACCTTTAATACAGAGCTATGGTCTTTTGATTTAAAATTCACTAATGTCACAAATCAACTAACACTGTGGTAAGATAACCCTACCATACTGTATAAGCAGTTAAATTTCTCATTTCCTTTTGCACGACCAGACACAACAATGATCTGTGTAGCAAGGACACCATCCCCACGAGTTCAAATGTCTCTAACAACAGATCAACAACAATAATTTGTTTCTCTGTCGTTTAATCAGCAATATTCCAGCTATATGGCGGTGGTCTGTAAATAACTGAGTCGGGACCAGGCAATCCAGTGATCAACACATGAGCATCAATCTACCTAATTGGGAAAGACAAACGTTCATACTGAGGAACCCGATACGTTATCATTATCGAACTTCCTGGTATTCTTTGTCTGGTAACATTTACTGATCTGTTGACATGGAGCTCAGGTGTCGCCTGATTTGACATCCACACGACCTTCCTTGATTTACGTCTGTACATCGATATTGGTTTTCATTTTCACCAAACCACATGTATTGTACGAGCTATCATATCAACAGGCATCAAGTTACGAACAGTGTTTATGAGCTGACTGTATGGATAACTTCCTTATACCTCCCGGATATAATTGTTAAGTTTTTGTTTGTGATTGTGAACTGAGATAAATCTGTCACATGCTACAGTGCTGGCGTTACCTGATCAAAAAACTGTGAATAAGCCAATTGCCATAACGTTAACATCATGTACTGCATCCATGCATTGGTGACACATAGAGATCACAAAGAGCACACAAAGGTGTTAATCAATATAATGAAGACACACATAGAAAATACAGTTTAGCAATGGCAGTGTATTTTATAAACTAAATCACACATTTTTGCTATTAGCAAATTAAGGTATACTTCAAATGAAATACAACATATATACAGATAGCAATATTATATTTTAGATTGCTATATCGTCACGTTGCAAACTGAAGTCAATGTTGTACACAACGTCGAAGATGGGGCAATCGTTGCTTGTTATGTATCCTATTTTCAGAAAAGTTCCGATTCCCTTTGCACTGCCTTGATAGGCGTCGTCATGTCCAGTGACGTCGAAATGAACGTCAAGCCAATATTAAACAACCAGGCGTTCCGGATGACATTCTTCTTTTTCTGGACGTCAACGCCCGTGTCCACTATCCACGAATCGTTAATGCTTACCGCCAACAGCACAGCACCCACTGAATAACAGAATGCGCTTAAAAGGTAATGGGGCAAATGCTGACAGTGTGAGGCCAACTCGCAGTATTGTTCGAATATTCGACAAAATGTTGCGTCACAACTGATACTTGAAATTCCCCCCATCTTACCCCTTCCGTCCTCCACATCACCGGCAGTCATAAAATGGGCTTTCATACCTCACGACCAGTTGTGATGTGTTCCCAATTCGTCCACTATTATCATACAAGTAATACCAGATAATAATAACCCTTAACATTTTAATTAGAACATATTGAGTTGTCTTTAGAATATACCCCACTTTACAAGAAACCACAAGGATATACACCATGTAAATTTGGCCGATCAATAATATTAACTTCATACCAAACTGAACATTTTGAACTCGATATTAAGTTCAACATTACGAAATGGCAAACAGATGTAATGAGTGAAATTCGTTCACTTTAAAATGTTCACATAAATTGCAAGTACACGATGTATATCAGACCATCAGCCTCGTGGCTCCAACCTTGGTGCACTCAACTCAGCCAGACATGGGGAAACTAGCAAGGAAGTAGACCGCACACAAGGGAAAGACAAAACGTGTAAGGCATTACCTGTGAATGTTATTTTGTACTGTCTACAATTATGGTAGTTGACCTAATAAAAATTCTGTCTTTATGATATGTTGAAAAGAGTTGCAAAAGTATGGAGTTTTCACAAGCCAAACAGACACATGTATCTCGTAATATTTGAACAGAGGAAAGAGATAAATCCCTCCACTCCTTTAGCATCCTGGTGTGTTTATGCATAACAGTGCGCGTAACATTCACCATTATCGTTTACTTTGTCATTTAAGAGGATCTTCCCTGTACTCTGTTTCCCTATCTGATTGTGTCTACTCTTTGTATGTGTTCGTCAACAATGTGACTGGTGGAACAGGATGGGCCTACATCTGGTATCAGTTTGATAACGATTCAGAAACACATGGTATGATCGAATAAATACAATGTACTCTGCTTTTATCAGAGAATTCTTATGGTCATTGAAAGGGTTGTATCGTTTTATTGTACTTGAGTGAACACAGGTACTCTTTCCTAAAACAGAGAACCTACAGACAGTTTGGTTAATAACAATTCATTTAGAGGTAACCGAGTGATTCTGCTGCAAATGTTAACAAAGATAAAGCGTTTTAAAGTGCTGACATATGGCGATCCTGAACCACACATGTATGTAAGTATGGATATGCATACTGGGCCTTGTTAACTGAAATAGCAGAGTCGATACATTCCATGACAGGATTTTAAGAACATCTAGATGCAATATGTATTAATCAACATAAGACTGTTTGATTGGTGTAAATTTTATTCATATTGTTTCACAAGCTTAATGTGTCAGCAAATATCAAACGCAGCCTTCTCCTGGCACCACATTATTTACAATGTGCATTAAATGTGCATTCAAACTTTCAGTCCCCCGGGCCAACCCAAACTATCTTCCCTATTAAATCACAACACTAGTGCAAATGATAAAGGAGGCAAATGCAAATATACAATATAAACACAGTGTACGTATCTGTGTGTGCAATCAGTCCTTTAAGACGGGTTAAACTAGGTCCATGTAGTAAACAAACGTTATGAAAACACAGAAGCAGCCTGAGGGTGACATTAGTTTGCGAGGGGGACGTTTGTAGTAGTACAGAAAAGTAGATCACAACTAGGAACCATCGTGTTGTGAAATGAGTCAACATGCAAACATTGACTGAAAGGTATCTAATAATACCAATCACATGAAAATATCAACAAACCGCTTTGCATGACTATAGGAGATGTGCGGACAGATTCCTTTGTTAGACTTAGTCATAAACATGTGTTTATGAATCTCTTAGTGTTCTAAAACCACACCCTTTCCCGCCCCATCGGTAATTATCGTCACAAACATATAGACAAATCAAATGTAAAGCCGTAGAGGTTAGGTGATGTAGGTTTTTTAAGGGAACAAGATGCTCTTGTCTGAATGAACCCCATACTATAATATCAATGGAAATCCTACAATCATTCCCTATTGTACGACCAGATGCAATGCAATATCTGCTACCAAGTACGCCATCACTACAGTTATCTGATTATGTGTTATAGTTATCAGTGGGCCTAACATTAGTATCAGACGTATGGTTGTAGGTGTCATCAAACCTGTTGACAACCAGTCCTGCATTAGCGACATCATAGTCACCGTCTTCAAACCCCTTATTTATCGCGCCGATGTGACTGTACGATCCTTCTGCTTTTCTCAACCTTTCCTCTTGTCTTGTGGTGTCGTAGTGTCCTTCCGCTGTTTCCGTATGTTCATACAAACTAACGTCACTTTTTCCTCTTTCTCCAGAGCTGCGCTCCTCGAGGATGTGGTACTGAACCTCCCCGGTCTCACGGTTGTTGACGTAATCTTTGCCAGTGTGAGCGTTGAGGTTCACTGTCGCCCCAAGAACAGCAGTGAATGGCTGCCCGTCCAGTGTGTCAGGGGTTACAACCGAATATGCTCCACTGTCTGTCTGTATCCCGAGACCATCGTAGGTCGTGTTTTCTGTGGAGTTCATCAGCTGATTCCTTTCTTTTATGTTCAAATTCAGTTTGCGTTGCCTGTAACATAATTTGCAGTCAAACTGAGTAAGGTTTACACAATGTCACGACATATTTAATCAGTTATGTAATGTTAGTTATGTTTACTTTTTTGTTGCTATTTAGCACGGAGACTGGCTGATTAACAAGTTTCCACCATGAATGATTTTTGTTCTATTTCATTTAGTGTCAAATGTTTCAGCGAGAAGTAATGTATGAATAGAACTTCACCCCAACACCACAGGGCATGATCATCTCGGATGGAACTGAGAGAAAACCATATTGGAACTAGATTTAGTAGTTCACGTGACTGTAATTTCACTGGCGGCAGTCGAGGCCATTGTATGATTGCTGCTCGATATCAAATTGGCAAAAGCAGTGCCTAATTAATGCCTCTCTCGAAATCATTACTGTGGTGTACGAGGAGCGATGCTATGAAATATAAAATAAATTCACTCCTTTCCAAGGTATCATGATCTGTTTTGGCCGTTTAGACCCAAATTGTGTCGAAGCTACTCTTCCGAATTGACACTGACATTATTCGTTGACAGTTAATATCCAAATTTGAAAAATGTATTTGTGAACATTAGCACCGGAGTGGAATGTGCCAAACTTTGTTACAGATGATTTTCACTCAGACATATATTGTTTTTACATATGAACAGGAGGAGAGATAGCTGAATTATTAACCTAGTTTCAGTCTCAATTTCAAATTTGAGAGGTTTTACGTTTCAGTTGCCTTAGCAATAAAAGAGGAAAGGTTTCTAAAACCATCCTGTCAAAATATGGGAGGACCATTGAGACAATGATATATATTATGTATATGTATTTTCTTTTCTAAATCTTATACTATCCGTTGAAAGTCGTGCTGTTTGGAATCTCACCTCTGCAGGAGAATCACAACAGCGATAACTGTCAAGAGGAAAATCACATTGCCCATAGCCAGTCCGATGATTACACCTTGAAATACATAGAGACATGGTTGCCAACAGCCTTAATAAACGTAAATCCATGAAACATGCATCATAGTTTACACAAGAAAACATGGTCATGTCCAATAAGTATGTGTAGCCTACCGGAGCAAAATCTCAGTGTCGAATGCACACTAGAGACAGTTATATGGCAACTGGAAACACCACGTATAAACACAACTATACTATGTCATGTAAACAGGACTCGGGATACGTTCCAAACATCAATGCTTCTACATACAATTTTCAATTTGTAATTGGCGGGAGAGATTTGCTGTTGGCGATACTGTAATTGGTAATTGTGATGGGTGATCGACTGCAGTGGATACTTACCCCTCGGACCATCAGCACGTACACCTGACTGACTGTCGGTTGAAGGGTGGGAAGGTTCAATCGTGGAATCTCCCCTTGACAATGGGGACTGAGTTGATGATAGTGTTGACGTTGACACTGACGTGATGTTGACAAGTAATATTGTCTCTAAGCAAATAAATAAATCCAATATTCGGTTATTTCATTACAATTGTTAACAAAATGATGCAGTATCGACTGACTCATTTAAAGGATATTTTATCATTTTCGAAACTATTTGTATGTGATAATTTGGATGTTAAACAAGTTTCTGTTTGATATGTTGATATTCAAACTGAATACACCGGTGTCTATCTGTTCCCGTCAAGCTGCAACTGATGTGAGATAAAACCCATCCATAACAATGTCACCGAAATGTGTGTCTCCACCTCAAGCGGAGTCAGGATGGACGGAGAAGAGTGAGTGAGTGAGTTTATATTTACGCCACACTCTGCAATATTCCAGCTATATGGCGGCAGTCTGTAAGTAATCGAGCCTGGACCAAACAATCCAGTGAACATCCAGTGGCAGCATGAACATCGATCTGCGCAATTGGGAACCGAGGACATGTGTCAACCAAGTCAGCGAGCCTGGCCACCCGATTCCGTTAGTCACCTCTTACGACAAGCATGGGTTACTGAAGATCAATATTTTCACCCGGACCTTCACGGGTGTGGTGGGAAAAGAAAGTGAATGGAAAAGAGGGAGCTTTCAAATACGAGTTGATGAAAGAAATGCATCTCTTTAATTGGAAAAAAAGGACGAAGTCATTTTTCATTTAAATCATACTTTGTAACATTATCTATGTATGAGAATAGATTATATAGAATCCATTCCTATTTACCATTAAGGGAACCAATAGACTAAGGTAGATTTTCGCCTCACATGATATTTACCTTCACAAATAAAAGCAAGTTGTAAATGGCATGGAACCATGTACGTCATCCAACGTCCATTATTTCTCAAAGCTAGGCATGTTGATGTTGGTGAACGAATCCACGGATGGTGATCTTCATATCCAGATTCCCCTGGAAACATATAAGCAGTTCAGACAGTTGATATAATTGTGCTTTCATAAATAGTTGTATTAACTTGACTGAAAATGACGGCCATGTAGCTGGAATATTCCTGCTTGCGGCGTTTAACAAAAAACAAACAAAAGACAAACTCACTTAAAGCAAAGAGATGAACATACTTGGTTTTTCAATATGTTCATGCTATTTGCTTTGGTTAAAGGCTACCGTATTCATTAAATACAAATCAAAGACCTACTCCTGCATGATGATATGTTAACACTCGTTTCTGTAGGCCAGACTGCATTAGATACTCAGACTGAATGTTCTTACGATGCATGTGTACGGTATATTGTATACTGATTATTGGTTATACGACGAAACTCCGTAAATCAGGACTTTTACGTTCCAAACCGTCCGTAATTCCTACAATAGTCCCAGAAAGCGCTGGAAACTGGAAAGTCGAGTTTCCTGACTAACGCCAGAATCTCCAATCCAACCGTCAGAAACATTAATTGGAGCTTGTTATGACCATCAACTTCGATACAAATGTTGCCGGTAATTATCATGGGTGGCCTTGTACAACCCCAATATGTAAAATCAAGACAATATGTAAAAACTAACGCAATATGTAAAAACTTAACGCAAACGTAAAATATAACGCGATATGTAAAAGATTAACGCCAAATGTAAAATCAATTTTTAACGCAATTTGTAAAAGATTAACGGTATCTGTAAAATACAGCTTTATTGTTGTTTATTGTTTTGGCGACTGAAATTCATTTTTTAGAAACTTTGCTTTATTGTGTTTCAAAATAACTAAGCTATTGCAATATTTCTGACAAAACTAATCTCATTTCTAACTTAACTGATATCTGATCTTTTGGGTCGTTTAACATCAAAGTAAAGCCGATAATTGTGTAATATACATGTATAGCGATACTTGATATCATAATCTATATTCGGCAGTATCCAAGGAAATCATTTTATTCTTCATAGTTATTTTACATAAATGGTCATATGGGTTGTATTTATTATGTCCTAGGAGGATTTACCTTTTGTTCTTTTTTTGTCCCACAACGCGCATGTAGCGTAAAGTTGGGGACATAAAATGACCCTCCGCATTGGGTACGGTGACCAAGGTTCAACTTGGAATTCGGTAGATAGAAGGTTTTGTATTTTTATTCTTTTTCTTTTCATTGTTTTTGGCTGGGAGAATTTGTCCTATTTATTGGTGAATAAATAGCAAAACATGTTCCTTTATGGAATTAATGCATAAGTTATTTTCCTGGCAGTGTGTTTTTTAATCTCACCTCAAAATACTTAAATGAAATGCAACAAATCCTGATAAAAAGTTTGAGCCATCCCATAGACATTACGAGAGACTTTGTCTGAATTTGTTTCAGAAACACTTTGAATGAATTTTAGAGAAAATATAATATTTATGATGATGTATTTACAAATATTATATATCTCCAAAATGTGAAAATTACTGTTTAAGTATAAATGTGTCGCTGGACACAAATATCTTTGATTTAGAAATGGTAAATCCATCTTGCAGATTTAGGTATAATGGACATGCAAGATGCATCACAGTGATTCGGGTATTTGCATTCCAATCACATCTGATTTCCTTCAATCAAGTCACAGGTAATATTGCTGCCAATGAAATCGAATAATACCAGAGACATTTGAGATTGGATCCCGATGTTGATCGCTCAAATTTAATGAAATAAAGTTATTGTATTTGATGCAATTTAAGTAACATGATATATTGATGTAAACGGGTAACATGACTTGTTCAATCCATCAAACATGCCAATGCCAAGATCAATGATACCTGAATAGAATTGCAAAATCACAAACCACGCCTAAGAAATTATAATGGTAATTCACCATTTGACCACATAGATTGCCATTCGCTGTGTATTCTGTGACATTCATGTGATTATTTGACGTAGTACGAAACATTAGTATAAATGGAACCAGAGAGTGAGAGAGAGAGAGTGAGAGAGAGAGAGAGAGAGAGAGAGAGAGAGAGAGAGAGAGAGAGAGAGAGAGAGAGAGAGAGAGAGAGAGAGAGAGAGAGAGAGAGAGAGAGAGAGAGAGAGAGAGAGAGAGAGTCATATAATAAATGTACACATTGGTTTACTTGAAGTTGTTTCCCACCCGCAATTGAACCTATGACATCTAGGTACTATTCTAGTATTCCCTTAAACCGCCCATCTTTGTCTAATGTACATAGTCAAATCATAACTTTTGGCGCTCTCTCCTAGATCAGTTGCTAGGTCCGAAGTGCAATGGTCAGAGCTACCATCTCGATGCCAAGTACCAATTGCAATTAATTCCAACCCTCATACACAATGAATTAAAATTGGAAACATTACTACAACATGCATGTTATTTCAAACCAAATTAAGAAGGATCAACAAGTGGTTTTCTTTAAAACCCAAATTCGGTAATCACAGATTATAAGCAACGGAATGGACAGTTTCAAGAGAAGGTCCATCCTTCTTGAATAAGACATAATGAATATAACCAAGTTTTATAAAACAAGTTTTAAGAATAAAATTATTCCTTTAAAACTTTCGAAAATAGACTATAAGATCGATTAAAATATCTCTATATACAAGGAAATTATATGTTTATCGACTCTGCTTACATGTATACCGAATGAGGTAAAATTTTACATAAAAATGTAGTATGAAGTTTATTTTGTAAGAAACATTGCGATATCTTAGTTTTTGTAAATAAAGTAAATATTTGCCAAATTTTTGCCAAAGATGGATTTCGATTGCAACCCTTATATACAAACCTAAAACTGGATTTTACATATTGCGTTAATTTTTTACATGTTAAGTTAAAAATTGTTTTTACATTTTGCGTTAGGTGTTGTACTTTTTGCGTTAAAGACATCTTTTACATATCGCGTTAATATTTTACATATAGCGGTATGTTTTACGTTTTGCGTTAAGCTTTTACATATTGCGTTAGTTTTTACATATTGTCTTGATTTTACATATTGGGGTTGTACAGGCATCGACAGCGATGCAGCGCGTATATTCCCAGTGATGAATCGATATTGCTCCTACGAGTTCCATATTTGACAACACGGGTATACAGGCCACGTATATATAACGTCAATGTCAGAATAAAACCAGATTATCTGCCGAAATAGAAACCATTGAGCGTGAAAGGCAATATACATGTGAAAAGTAAATAAATAATTTACGGGAAATCATGTTGCGTTGGACAAGTGGACAGGTGGACAGATTTGTAGGTGGCAATGGTATGGTGTCATTGGCCATCTATTACACTGATAGACCAACCATAATGTTCATCAACATGGAACGACAGACAACACTCAATCACAACTGATTTCCGAGCTTAGAATAACATCTCTGTTCCCGGCCATCCAGCTCGAGATCTAAACCCACTGAGCCTGAGACATTGTATTTCGTGTTGTTAACTTTTGCAATGACAGTGGAAAAACATCATGTTCATACTGACTCCTGTTGATTTTATGGTGTCAAGCTGAATTAAGGTCATAGGTCATTATTTAAACCCTATAACCTTGACCTATAACCCTATAACCTTGACATTGGTATTTTATATTGCGTAATGAATGTTTCAAACACATACATAAAAAAAGGTGATACAATTTTGAAACCAAATAGGCAACTCTTTCTGTAAGTATTTCTTTGCATCTTTGCATATCATTTTTCAGTAGAAAACCATTCAAAGTGAGAGATAAGAGCAAAAAAATTAAAAAAAATAAATACAAAAACACACCATCGACCCATTTCGTTGTGCTTTTCAATGTGAGACCAATCCAAAAAGGATATTTAAATCCAGAAGAATTTAGTACATCTTTTGCTGTCGAAGCGTTTAGTTTGATCAAATCATTTGACTTATGGGCCTGTATCCAGGATTTGACTCCCGCCGACACACACACCCTCCCGCTGCAGCTTGCTGGAAGACTATCTACAAAACATGAATAACCATGTGAGAAAACTCATTCTTATGTTGTAAAAGGTGAAATTAGTCATAGGAACACGTATTAAAAATCAATCCAGAGGATAATTTGAGAGCTGAAAACATTCAAACCATTTTAATGATATGCTTTGTTGTGACCTGTTCTCATGTGCATTGTTGGACGTTTCGGGTCACTCAGATGAGTGGATGATTGAATTATATTCTGAACCCAGTATATGCTTCTCAAGGTTTTTTGTCTTATTTTAAATCTATCACTGGTAGAATGCAATGATATTCTGTGTCTGCCACATTCATGCACGTGATAGTTGGGAGTTGTGTTAAATCTGGGTCAAGTGTGTCACTGCGTATATCATTACAGGATACAGGAAATATTGATTACGTACAAAAGTAATGTAATCAGATCTTTATAATGCTTAAGATAACTTAAGTAATACTCACCGTGGGGATAATATGCAGATCTACGCTTTCTTCCTTGTATACAGTTGAAGTAATAGTCAAGCTTAATTGTTGTTGCTCGTTTCCTTTGCAAATAAGCACATACTCCAGTCCTCGTGGGTGTAAACCCGAGCCCTCCTAAAACAAGGAAAGTGACGTAAATACGTGCACAAGTTATTTCTGACCCCACTTACCGTTTATATCCTAACGATTACATACACTACACTTTCCTGGTACAACTATATTTCCATATAGCTAGTCTGTTGATTAGAATACAATCAGAACAACTTAGAGCAACCGGTATACGTGCACCCGGTATAACATCCAGAGGACGACGTGGGTGTCAGATTGTCAGAATGTCAATGTGAACCTCTGAAATAAATCAAGGTGACAAAACAGATAACATGAAACATGGTACCATGGCCACAAGTATAATCACACGGATATTCCAAAATGTTAGTGTAAGGCGCACTTGCCAGTATCACGTGTATAGACTGACATCCCACCTGCGTCACCACACATTTCATCTGGGTTTCCTGGACACGGCATCCCGCCTGCACTCTTATTGTTTACTGTGTGAGATTGTTCGAGACAATAACACTCTTGTCCCTAAAAAACAATCACAAAATGAGCTGAGCAGTCCTGCCACAAAATAACAAAAACAAAGAAAACAATACAGTCACAAAAACCAATGTACAAAACATTTGTATTGCACAGTGATTCTTTTGTTATTATTGTGTCTGCACAACATTGATTATCATTGTGTGTCTGTACAACATTAATTATCATTGTGTCTGTACAACATTATTATTGTATGTCAGTATAACATTATCATTGTGTGCTTGTAAACATTGATTATTATGTGTGTCTGTACAACACCGATTATCATGTGTATCTGTATAACATTGATAATCAATGTTGTAGAAGCACACGCTGATTGATTATCATTGTGTGTCTGTATAACATTGATTATCATCCTGTGCTTGTAAACATTGATTATCATGTGTGTCTGTGCAACATTAATTATCATCGTGTGCTTGTAAACATTAATTATCATTGTGTGCATGTACAGCACTAGTTATCATGTGTGTCTGTACAACATTAATTATCATTGTGTGCTTGTAAACATTGACTATCATGTGCGTCTGTATACCATTAATAATCGTTGTGTGCTTCTACAACACTAATTATCATTGAGTGTCTGTACAACATCAATTGTCATTGTGTGTCTGTACAACATTGATTATCATTGTGTGTCTGTATAACATTGATTATCATTGTGTGTCTGTATAACATTGATTATCATTGTGTGTCTGTATAACATTGATTATCATTGAACGTCTGTACAACATTAATTGTCATTGTGTGTCTGTACAACATTGATTATCGTGTGTGTCTGCACAACATTGATTATCATTGTGTGTCTGTACAACATTGATCATAATTGTGTGTCTGTATAACATTAATTAACACTGTCTGTAAAACATTGATTATCATTGTGTCTGTATAACATTATTAGCATTGTGTGTCTGTACAACATTATCATTGTGTGTCTGTACAACATTGATTATAATTGTGTGTCTGTACAGCAGTAAATAATATTGTGAGTCTGTATAACATTGATTATCATTGTGTGTCTGTTCAACATTACTTAACATTGTGTGTCTGTATAACATTGATTATCTTTGTTTGTCTGTAAAACATTGATTATCATTGTGTCTGTACAACATTGATTATCATTGGGTGTCTGTACAACATTGATTAACATTGTGTGTCTGTACAACATTGATTATCCTTGTGTCTGAAACATTGAGGTGGTTCTGAAGGAAATCTCTAGTATGACGTGCTGTGTGGGGCCTGGCATTGTCCCGTTGAAACAACTCCCTCTGGCGATCAATGATTGGAAGGAGGTGTGGGCGTAGGATTTCGTCACAGAAATCGTTGTGTGCTTCTACAACACTAATTATCATTGTGTGTCTGTACAACATTACTTGTCATTGTGTGTCTGTACAACATTGATTATCATTGTGTGTCTGTATAACGTTAATTAACATTGTGTCTGTATATTATTAATTAACATTGTGTGTCTGTACAACATTTATTAACATTGTGTGTCTGTACAACATTAATTGTCATTGTGTCTGTACACACATTGTTTATCATTGTGTGTCTGTATAACATTTATTATCATTGTGTGTCTGTATAACATTAATTAATACTGTGTGTATGTATAACATTGATTATAATTGTGTGTGTACAACATTGATTATCATTGTGTCTGTACAACGTTATCATTGTGTGTCTGTACAACATTGATTATCATTGTGTGTCTGTACAACATTGATTATAATTGTGTGTCTGTATAACATTTATTAACTTTGTTTGCGTACAACATTTATTATCCTTGTGTGTCTGTACAACATTAATTGTCATTGTGTGTCTGTACAACATTAATTACATGAACAAATTGTATCCCTCCTCTTAGGTTTCATTTATGTGTCATTAGTGGGTTTTAGAATGAGAAATATGTCATCTAATTCCTTTAATCGGTTTGTGATCAAGATGTTGCATTCGTCTTACGCTCAGGCCCAGTGTACTGTTGGAAGCACATCTTAGCTGACACTCGTAAATGGAATTATAAAGCAACGATTTTGGATTCTTCGCCAGCCGTAGACTTGTGTACCCATCATACTTGTAGAGTGGAGTACCATCTTCTGAAATATCATGCATAAGATTCATCAATAATAAATTAACACTACAGATCCATACCCAACGTCACATTACATATAACGTAACATATGTTATATTTGGGATTACACTTTCTTAGTAAAGTACAGTCTAGTACTTACAAAGAAAGTGTAATCCCAAATATAACATATGTTACATCTGACCACTTTCTAAAATGGCATTGTGTATGTCACATTACATACATATATATACTCTCCCAAAAAAGAAACGCATATAGGAATTTCAACTGTATTTTTATGCCTATTTTGAAACATCTTGTAGGCTATATGAGTCAATGAAATATAGCAAAATTGCACACTGGGAATGCAGACTTATCCGTCTTTGGCACCAACTCGAGTAAAGTCAGTTTGAGTGTCACATGGAGACGTGTGGTGGCGCTGAAGTCAATACCTCATGTGACCACAGTGGGCATCCGGAACTGCACGGCATCGCCTCGGCATCGAACGAATAAGTCACAGAATCTCGTGTTGCCCAATCGCAGCCTATTCTGCCAGCTGTAGTGCCTGTGCGAGTTGCTGAAGCGTCTGGGGCTGAGGGTTACGGCGTCGCACCCGTCTGTCCAGGGCATCCCAAAGATGTTCGAACGGGTTTAAGTCCGGTGATCTTGAGGGCCAGGGGAGCACATTGATGTTGTGGTTCTGGAGGAAATCTCTAGTGTGACGTGCTGTGTGGGGCCTGGCATTGTCCCGTTGAAACAACTCCCTCTGGCGATCAATGATTGGAAGGAGGTATGGGCGTAGGATTTCGTCACAGTACCGTTGAGCTGTCAGGTTGCCCTGGATCATCACCAAATTACTTCTCCTACGGCAGGTGATCGCTCCCCACATCATAACACTTTCCCGGCCGAATCTGTCCACCTGGGGAACGCAAGCGTCGGCGAAACGTTCACGTCGACGTCTGTACACCCGCATTCTTCCATCGCGTCGTTCCAATAGAAATCGTGATTCATCACTAAACCAGATTCTACGCCAATTCGGTAGGTTCCAGGCCTAAACGTTGGTGCACCATTGAACTCGATGTCGACGATGTTGTTGTCGAAGCACAGGGCCAAAATAGGGTCTTCAGGCACGTAAACCAGCCTCTCCCAACCTGTTTTTGACGGTCTGTGCAGAAAGCCTCCTCAATCCGGGTATTTGTCGAGCAGTACTGGTCGCCGTAGCTGTTCGATGACGCAGGTGATGTACCCGGATGTAGCGATCCTGCGCCGCAGTGATCGCTCGACGTCGCCCACTACGAGGGGCATCTGCTACCGCATTCTGCCGGCGATATATCTCCCAGAGCCGTGAAATGGTGCTTTGGTGAACATTCATGCGTCGGGCAACTGCACGTTGAGACTGGCCAGCTTCAAGCAAACCAATGGCGATATGACGGTTGGCTTCACTTAGACGTGGCATTTTGCGTTCGTCAACAATATTCCAAATACAGTGAATAATCTACAGACAGCGATCTACCTTTTATACCCACCATTGAGACTATCTGATCCCCAACTTTCACGTGCATTGCATGTGAATTGTGTATTCTGTGACACTACACGCCGAAATTGAAAATCATGCTGTTAAATACGGGTATTTTACGGATGGTGCGTTTTGTTGTGATGTTTCAAAACATAAACAGCATAGGACTCATAAACAGAGCAAAACGTTTTGTAAAATGAATCACGTTTTAATTCATTGCTACATGAAATTGCTATTTTATGATGCGTTTCTTTTTTGGGAGAGTATATTATCTAAGTAGCTGTAGGAAGTGGTCGCAGTCAGACTTACCTGTCCATATCCATGTTGAATACCTCATGGCTCCTAACCAGTAGGAAGTATTGCTGTGTAGGTTCTGAGGGAGGAAGTGTGTATCTGAGATATACAGATCTCTCCCCGGTTCCATCCTGCAGCTTTTCCTGGCATCCCACCAGTTGCTTTTCGTCTCGTTGACAGAGATGCGTTGTGTCTCAGCGGCTGAAAATGGTTAATAAACGCCTGACTAGTTCAACTGCAATTGTGATTCAGTATATCACGATTATTAAATTTATGGTTTGCGTGACCTGAAAAATTATACTACTTGGTACTCAAGTTGGTTCTCATTCCACCAGAAATCAGATTTGTAATAGTGATGTGAGTTCATCAGTTCGCTAACTATTACTTACGCTTAATGAAGAATGGGGATCGACGTGGACAGTTGGAGGTGTAGAATTTGGTGTTTTAAGATGTCCAGGGGTCACAGACAAATTGAACATGCTAGCAAGTACATGTCGGAGACAACATGGACTCCAGGTATGGATCTCGCCTACAGGCTGTACGCAGTTGGTGTCACGTTAACTGTCATTATGCTAATGAGTCACAGTCTACTGATATACAGTGTTAATCCTGAACATATTTTCTCTAATTTACCCAGCATAGACAATTTTAATTACTGTCAAGAAATTTCAACCATGTGCACGTGCGAGATGGGTTGCACGGACTCTACAATGTTTTCATTTGATGCAAGATGGCAGCTTCTGTTGTCGGGTGACATCGAGTCCAACCCGGGACCAGGCCCCAACACAAGGGGAAGGGGGTCCCAGCCGGACACCGAGGCGGACAACAGCGTGAGTGAGTCTATAAAAGCACTGACTGGCCAATTTGATGCGTTGAATAAGACAATAGCGTCCATGAGTGAAATGCTAACGACCCTGAAAAATACAGTGGACCAAAACAATGCCAAATTAAATAATCAGTTGGAACAAATTCAAACCGAAAATAGAGATCTTAGGAAGATAGTGACGTCTCAGGCAAACACTATCACTGCTTTAGAGGCCAAACTTGATAAAAGTGAGAACTACTCCAGAAGAAATAATTTGATTTTATTTGGAATGGAAATGGAAGGACGGTATGAAGAGTCTGGTGAATCTACTGTCCACAGATTGGGTACAAAGCGTGAACAGGGGGGGGGAACCCGCCTATCATGATGAAGTTCGTCTCCAGAGACGACAAACTTAGCGTCCTCAACAAGGCTAAGGCAGAGCTGAAAGGCAACACAACATTGAGAATATCTGAGGACTTCTCTCCAAAACAAGACTCAGAAGAAAACAACTCATACCCCACCTCAAACAAGCCAGGGACCAAGGCAAAACAGCATACATCAAAGGCGACTTTCTAGTTATAGATGATGTTAAGTTCATGCCGGATAGTTCTGGGGCTCTAGTCAAATTCGCCGGAGATATACATGGACCACACTCGCTAGGTCATGCTGACCCAAACCACAGTGTTCTGTAGCAGGTTGGCCTTGACCCTGTGACTGATATCGACATTGACATTGACACCCGATCAGAAAGCTCGTGCTCCACGGGTAAGCCTATTGTGTTGGAACGTAAACGGCCTATATAGTAAAGTAATCCATCCAGACTTTTGTGACTTTATCTCTAAATATGATATCATATTTTTGACCGAAACCTGGGCCAAATGTTATGATGACTTTAGTAACTTAATTGCCTGTTATACAGCATTTCAATCAGTTCGCCCTAAGATAAACAACATCGGCCGGTTCAGCGGTGGCGTTGCTATACTTATGGGTGACAGTATTTCATCTTTTTTCCACCGTATACACGAGGAGTGGGTGGACGCCGTGTTTCTTGTTTCCATTCGGCGCATACGGTCAGGCAAAAGGCTTATTCTGGGTTGTGTCTATATAACACCGGAAAAACCTAACAGTAACGATGGGGTTGAGCGATTGGAAAGTTACATTGTGGCAATGAAAAACGAATATCCAGATACTGACTTGTTTATTTGTGGCGATTTTAATGGCAGAACTGGCGCTGAATTAGACTATATTGTTGATGATAGTGTTGATTTTCTACCTATGGACGAGGATACATTCGAGGAACTTGATGCCCCACCTGTGTACCCAAATCGTAAAAATAAAGATCTTGTTGTAAATAACTATGGAAGAGAATTACTAGACTTATGCAAAACTTTTGGATGGTACTTGTTAAATGGCAGATTCTCAGATGAGGGGGACTATACATATATTGGTCCAACCGGATGTAGCACACCGGACTACATTGCAGTGTCAGCATCGTTATACCCTTATGTGGGGGACTTCAAGAGCGTTTCTCGGACGGAGTCTGACCATCTCCCACTCACAACCACAATCTCATCCCTGTTCGATGTGGACAGGCCAGCCGATGATAAGTATTTTCATTGTAGTAACAGAAATAAAGTTAAATGGAAAAATGAAATATCACAATTATATCTTGATAACCTGCAAAATGCTGATACAAGTGATTTGTTTCAGGACTTTATAAGCAGTCTACATGTCAACACTGACAAAGCATTAAACATACTGCAGCGCATTCTGCAAACCTGTGGGCGGGATATGGAATGTAGACAACCCAAAACCATCAACGCTAAACAACAACCAGAATGGTTTGATCAACAGTGTCAGACACTTAAACATGAAAAGTATAAACTGCTTAATGTGTTTAGAAAAACAACATTTGAGAATCTGAATAGATACAAAGACATTAGATCTCAGTTCAAACAGACTTGTAAAACTAAGAAAGATAGTTATAAACGTTCCATTACTCAAAACATACATGATGCAGCTTGTTCCAGAGACTGCTCAGCATTTTGGCGACTTGTGAAAAAATATACCACAACTCGCGCCATGGAAGAAAGTGTAACGCCATCAACATGGGCTGAATACTTTAAGGACTTGTTAAACCCAACGTTGACAGAAGATGGAAACTTTTCAGAAGATGCCAAATCATATGTTGATAAACATGACTTTAATACATGTGTTGATTGTATCAATGACGATGATATTCTGTCATGTGACTTTACAGATCAGGATGTAATAAACTATCAGACATCTAAAATGTAACAAATCCCCAGGCGATGATGGTATTCCCGCAGAGTTTTTTAAAGTTTCTGAACATATAATAGTTCCCTATTTAGTATTACTGTTCAACAAGATACTCTCATCCGGTTTGTGGCCAAATTCCTGGTCTACTGGCATTATTATCCCACTACATAAGAAAGGTAGTAGATCTGACCCGAATAATTATAGGGGGATCTCTCTTCTAAATGTAATGAGCAAAATTTTTGTTTCGGTTCTAAACAAAAGATTGGAGTACTTTTTGCAACTTCGTGAGATAATTGGAGAATATCAGGGTGGATTTAAGACAGACCATTCGACTGTGGACAGTATCTTTATTCTCCAGACAATCATTCAGAAGTATTTAACACGTAAAAATGGGAAGATATATATTGCATTCATAGATTTTCGCAAGGCCTTTGACATGGTGAATGGGGCGGTGGGGTAGCCTAGTGGTTAAAGCGTTGGCTCGTCACGCCGAAAACCCGGGTTCGATTCCCCACATGGGCACAATGTGTTAAGCCCATTTCTGGTGTCCCCCGCCGTGATATTGCTGGAATATTGCTAAAAGCGGCGTAAAACCAAACTCAGTCAGTCAGTCAGTTGACATGGTGAATAGGTTTAAATTACTGTATGTTCTTTTGCAAAATGGGATCCATGGAAATTTTTTCAAGTTGATTAAAAATATGTATACTAATGTCAAGGCCACTGTAACCTATGAGTATGGTAAGAAATTAACTGAATATTTTGATAGCACCTGTGGGGTTCGGCAAGGCTGTGTCCTTAGTCCGGTATTATTTTCTTTATATATTAATGAGCTCGTATTGACCTTAGAAAATAAGTTTGATGACGGTATATTTATCTCCGAAAATATGTTGAATATTATTGCTCTGTTATTTGCAGATGATTTGGTTTTGATAGCTGATACTGTTGTTAGATTACACCGCCGCCTTGACGCCCTACATATGTATTCCCATAAATGGGGCATGGATATTAATACGGATAAAAGATAAAATAATTGTTTTTAAAATGGGTGGACCCTTGTCCAAACACGAAAAATGGTTCTATGATGGCATTCGAATGGAAACTGTAAATATTTATAAATATCTAGGACTTATGATAACTCCCAAATTGATTTGGACTAGGGCATGTAAAACATTATCTGATCAAGCTAATAAGGCACTGTGGCCGATCAAGTCATTTATAAGACGATATGATATGTCACTCTCAGAAGGATTTTATATTTTTGATAAAAAGATTGTACCAATTCTAACATATGGTGCTGAGATATGGGGTTTTAAAAAGAGAGAAAGTATTGAAATTGTCCATCGAAAATTTAGCAAATTATTACTTAGGATTAGTTACAGATCATCTAATGCTGTTGCATATGGGGAATGTGGGAGGGCACCCTTAAGCAATGTGTGTTATGTCAAATGTATTAAATACTGGCTAAGATTATTGAGAATGCATCAAAGTAGATATCCCTATCAATGTTATATTTTTTTATTATCTGTTGAATTCAGGAAACGTCCCACATGGACTCGGCATGTCAGTGATTTGTTATTTTATCTTGGCTTTGGTACAGCTTGGATTTCACAAGATGTCGGTGATACAAAAATGTTTCTATATATGTTTACTGAAAGAATTAACAACTGCTCTATGCAAGAGTGGCATTTGTCCCTAGATGTTCCTTCGCTGTCCTTCTATAAGTCCCATAAATCTCTGTTGACCTGTGAAAAATATTTATCATTGAACATAAGTAATAAGTGCAAGCGTCTGTTCACATTATTTAGATCAGGGTGTAATGCACTAGGTATCAAATATATTAGAAGAGGTACTGCCTCCTGCAATGATGATATTGTATTATGTAAACACTGTAAAAGTATTGAGGATGAAATCCATATTGTCTATATTTGTAAACGCTATGAGGATATGCGTCGGCGTTACATTCCGAAAACGGTCCATGGATATTATTATTCACTCCGCAGCATATGTACATCATCCGACAATAACATCATAAATAATTTTGTCAAGTTCTTAGAACATGTTTATTCTGCTCCTGTTAGCGTTGTTGTATGAAAATGGTAACCAAAATCACTATTGTACCACCTTGTACGATGGGTCGTATGGCCTTCTTCTTCTTCTTCTTCTGAATGAAGGCAGATGAATGCTCGACGGACGCACAATGAAGGCAGAGAGAAGGCAGGGGCAACGCCGCAATTTACGAAGTTTTAACGTGGCGTCCTTTCGCTAACCGGTGTGCCTTCACTCTGCCACCTCGGCGATGGTTCTGCCTTTGCTCTGCCTTCCCTCTGCCTCCTGTTATCAATCCACCATGACGGCGATCGCCCTGCGTTTGTTTTGAGCAAGTTCAATACAGTCACCACCACAGTGGCGTTCTGAGCCGTTCTTGGCGTTGGCTCTGCCTTCTTTCTGTCTTCATGGCGATGGCTCCGCCTTCTCTCTGCGTTCTTCGTGTCTCCTTTAAGCGTTCAGTGGCGTTTTGAAAGTTTTTAGAACGCAGAGAGAAGGCAGAGCGGTCGCCGTCCTGTGTAAAGGGGGCTTAAAGGATGAGCTGGAAACACGAGTGAGTGAAGATGTAAGGTGAACCAAGCCCACGAGGAAGTCACACTCGAGTGTTCCGACATGTTCTCCTGTCACGAGGAGGTCACACTCGAGTGTTCCGACAGGTTCTTATGTCACGAGGAGGTCACACTTGAGTGTTCCGATAGGTTCTCCTGTCCCGAGGAGGTCACACTCGAGTGTTCCGACAGGTTCTCATGTCACGAGGAGGTCACATTCCGATAGGTTCTCCTGTCCAGAGGAGGTCACACTCGATACTGACGCCTTCTGTTCCAAACGTTTTACCAATGTGAAATCATGGAACATCATGCATTATTCTTGCAACGAAATAATGGTGCATCCCTTTTCATCGTCTGTAATGTTACTGTATGATAGCAGTATGATGTATATCTAATTTCATAATAATGCACACGCTACTTCCATTTTAGGAGTAAATTTAACAATTGTCACGTTTTTGAATTTGGTTGAGTATAAATGGCTGCAAATTCGTATCAGGATTATATTTTTTGGTCAATTTAGTTGGTTTTGTGATGGACCTTGTATGAAAATGCATTACTATAAGTGGTTGCTTTTCCAGATAAAACTCAGAGGTTTTGCAAAGGACAAATGGGACAAAGAGACATCACTGAATTCAAAGTCAAATGTTGAATGTGTGAAAGGCAATTCAATAAATGCTGATACCGAGCACTAATCTAGTTCCTAGTTGAATTCTGAAACGAGTGAATGGTTTGATATCTAACAGGTTTAATAAATATGGTATTACACGGGACATTCTTTAGTATTATATTTACTACTCACCCAACTTTATCAAAATAATATCTCAGAATTCAACTTACAGAACGAGTGCATTACGCCGTCATAACAGGGGTCATTCGTGTGAATAGGCCTACATTTCATTGATGATTGTCAACATTAGTGTATTTAATTTGATTTGTTTAATAAACAAGGGGGTATGAAAAAGGGACTAAATGACTTCAACAAACGTATTATTTTTTACTATAAATGCTATATAAATTACACGCAACCAAGCAAAGAACAGTTGAATATCGCGACTTGTTGTTTTGTGACATTTTGTTTTGATCACATTACTTTGGTCATGCGTAATGACATTGTAGATTCATTAAACTGTGATATCTTCAACGGGTGAGTAATAATATAAGGGTAATGCTATTTTTGAGGGCATTATCATTTGCAGAAGCCCGAGGTCTTCCATTAACTGCCCGACGAAGGAGGGCAGTTGAAAAAGACCGAGGGCTTCTGAAAAATGATAATGCCCTCAAAAATAGCATTACCGTTATTATTGCTAAAATACATGGAATTTGTGTTGAAAAGAAAAAGGATATTATTAGCTATATTATTAGCTATATTATTTACACCATCCCTTGTGATGTTACCGATTGTAGACACATCTTGCCATAAGTTAAAATAACATATATCCTACGGTTAAAGAATGTGGTAGATTTAAATTTGCTTTGATCATGAATGTTTATGGACTAACGTATCCTCTCAGGAGGACAATAATTTTACAGTACTTTAACCCCCTTTGAGGATACATCCACTAACAATCTCAGTTACTAATCTAAACTACTACTAATAAATCACATCTATTTATAAAACATATTAATCAGAATGTGTCAATCAATTCTGTCTCTTTTAATATTGAAAGATAAAATGGTAATTAACACCATGGCAGTTAATGGAAGACCTCGGGCTTCTGCAAATGATAATGCCCTCAAAAATAACATTACCCTTATAATAACGTATGCACTATCAAAACATGTTCAGTTTCATTGAGACTCGATAATATTTCACTTATACTCATAATATTAGACGCAAACTAGATATTGGCGTTACCTGATCAGAGCTTTAACCAACTGCCATTTTATCAAATGTTCTTGTGGATAGCATCAAATTCATGCAGGAAACACATTTCATGAAAGGCAATGAGTATCACAAAAAGACTCAACTGTAAAATAAATCAAACATTCGAAACTTAACATACACCTGTCCTCGTTTTATAAACTATATAATTATATTAATCGCTGTGTTCAGTTTATTTGTCAACAATAAACTGAAATAGTATAGTAAATAAGTACTATTCAGTAACATTGCACAAAACGCTCAATAGGACTTCTCCCAACTTAATTCCTTAACCTTTAGTCATGAAAGTCAAGAGTGAACCTCGATTCCTCCGAAACTATGACATAAAGCCCAACGTCCATTATTCCATTGCTGACGTTTCCCACACCACTGATGCCTCAGGCTCAATTGACGTGCAGTAAGTTATAGAATGTCACGTATAAGTAGTGAACAAAAATACCATCTCTGCTGACGATGTCGCACCGTTAACTCTTACAGTAGTTGCCTGTTGCAACTGTTCCCGTTACCAGGGGAGGGGGTTCGACGCCCCCTTTTTTGGAGACTTAAGACCACTTTGAAGTTAATGTTTTGCAATGGCGGAGCCAAGGTGGGGTTCAGCCTATGCGTTACTGATTTCTTAATGCCATCGTTCTGATTAAATTGTCCCTGGCTGAAGTGTTGTCATATGTAGTCAACAGCAGAGCCGATTATTATTAGCTATCTGCATGGACCCAAGCAGTATTTACACCATCCCTTGTGATGTTACCGATTGTAGACACATCTTGCCATAAGTTAAAATAACATATATCCTACGGTTAAAGAATGTGGTAGATTTAAATTTGCTTTGATCATGAATGTTTATGGACTAACGTATCCTCTCAGGAGGACAATAATTTTACAGTACTTTAACCCCCTTTGAGGATACATCCACTAACAATCTCAGTTACTAATCTAAACTACTACTAATAAATCACATCTATTTATAAAACATATTAATCAGAATGTGTCAATCAATTCTGTCTCTTTTAATATTGAAAGATAAAATGGTAATTAACACTATAAAAAATCCTTTACTGTTTTGATATTGAAATATTTATCCCTTGTGATGGAAAAATCCAAACAGTAAAGCAGGACATGCTTGATCATGATTCTTCCATCGCAAGGGATACAAAACGGAGGATCCTCACCTTTTATCAAGTATTCGTGTGTGTATCGCGTATAGCCAATGCAACATCATCGCATAATGCCCTCTTCAAATCTGGATTGATAACTCAAGTAGGTGTAACCGACAGTTGCTTATGTTTGATGTAATTTAATGATACCTATTAGGGTGTCCCACTTCTTTTGCATTAGATGGCGGATATATGATCCAATGGCAGCTTTGTAATCAGAGTATGGGATGAGAAGTGGTGTCACAGATTTACTGAGTGCTGTCTAAGCGGTAAAATGGGCCATTGTGTTACCAGAAATTCCCAAATGGCTGGGTAACCAACAGATGACGATGTCGTATTGGCCAGTAGCAAGATCATTAAGTAGTTCAATTTTATTTACATTAAAAGTGGATGTTTACAAGAAAGATTTTTTATAGCCTGAAGGCAAGAAAGAGAGTCTGAAAATATGATATATTGTTTATGTTTAGGGTGTCTGTTGATATATTTAAGAGCTGTTAGTATTGCGTCTGCTTCTGCTGTGAATATTGAGATGCCATCTGGTAATCTAGTGGATATTGTTCTGGTTCCAATGACAGTGGCACAAGTCTCTGTGCCACTGTCCTTGGACCCATCTGTAAATACGGATTTGTATGTATTACATTTACTGTTTAATTGATTAAATTCTTGTTTATATTGTAATTCATTAGTTTCTGATTTTTTAAATGTTGTCAATGTAAGGTCAACTTGTGGCCTCACTAACTGCAAGGAGGAGAAGAAAGAAAGCGGGAAGAAGATATATACTCATGCCAATAATGGTTGTCACCCTCTTCAAATTTTTAATTGGAGAGGGTGTGTGGGTTGTGAGTGTGGGGTTGGGGTGGGGTGGGGTGGGTAGGGAAGGGGGGTGACAACCATTATTGGCATGAGTATATATTCTAGCTCAATGTCAGCAGCAGAAAGGAAAAGGTTTACTGTATTGATAATTTTATACGGCGTTGGTTAAGGGATGGCTCATCAGCCTCGACATCAGACTGTCAACAGGAGAAGTTCTAAAAGACTGAGGACAAAGTCTTAGACCTTGGTGGTGGACAGAATCTAATAGTTTTAGACTGCTTTTGCAGGCTCCACCACATACGGTGGAGCCACAATCAAGTTTCGAGCAAACCAATGATCTATATAAGTGAAGGAGGGTAGCATGATCCCCTCCCCACTTAGAATTGGAAACGAAGGCCGAAGAACTTGGCCTCCTGACAGCTTTGATTGGAGTGCCAATTAAAATGGAGTGCCATCGATTGAATCATTTAAAACCTTTGATAAACTGTTGATCTTGATATTAAACAGTGTGACAGGAGAACATTCATAAATTATTTGAACCAAATGGTACAGAAAATAAATACATTTACTCACATATGATGACACTAGTTGCATATACATAATACAGGTAACAGCCAAGCAGCCTCACGGTCCACATATCCCCGGCCTGTGTTCTCTACATAGGGTAGTCAACAAGGAAGTAGAACAAGCACATGAGTGGAGAGGAAAACTGAGAGTATCATGTGATAACAGCATGTCAGTTAGTGCACACCTGTCTGTATCAGATAAGGAAAAGTTGGAAAATTGGTAAAAGAGGACAAGAAAACTAACACTTCATGATCATCTTAAAGAGAGTCACTACATTTTCAAGCGCTTGCCACATTCATCATTACGAAATAATAATCTAACTTGTTTTATTATTTATAAAAAAAACCATGTCAGCAGTAACATTTTCCTGTTGACCAATGTTTTCGGTAATTTTTGAGGCACTCTTTTGGGTTTTGGCCTTTCGTCTAGTAGCATACCTTCTTGGAGGCATGGTGAGACGTCTGATCGCAAGCTCGGCAGTTCTCAAATACCGTGGAAATCGGCAGTACCAGACCTATATATATGTAATCTGTAAAGGCAGAGTGGAGGAAGTGTAAAGGCAGAACGAATGCCGTGTTTGTTCAAAGGGATGCGCTAGTCGCTGAATGAAGGCAGAGTGAATGCTCAACGAACGTCAATGAATTAGAAGATAAATAGTTTGGTTTGTTCAATTTCCGGGATTCATTGGAATTCAACATAGGCAAATTTAGTTTAAAACCCGGAAATTGAACAAACCAAACTATTTATCGATATTGTAAACCAATTTGTAGTGAGAAGCCTTTTTCCAAGGAGTTCTTTGAATGTAGCGCGATCGTGTGTCGCAATGCGGTTAGCCTCTCGTGGTCAAGTTCGCTGTCGCCCCAGATACGAGAAACGACAAAAGAAGGGTTACGCTATTATCTAATGGGGGAGATAGGTTACGTCATGTTCGAAATGAATAACTGTCAATATAATACACAAAACAAAATGTATTCAGTCATTTTTAAAATTAAACTTGATGAGTAACATTACAATCTCAATTACTGCAATACCACTCGAATTGCAATGACAATGAAAGAATTCCATTTTATGCTACCTTCTCAATCTCATGTAATCTTACGTAGACTGGTCCAATCAAGAATGACCACAAGGATTTGATCGTGTAAAGTTAGGCCTACTGTCGATTAACGAAGCTGACATTTATGGTAGAATTGTGTATGCCCTGAAACATTCCCATCACGGATACAATTGAAGAACTTTGCAAGTGTGAAAAGGGCCAAGATGATGAAACAGTGGCAACGGCACGAGAATCGACGCGTTGGCGATCAGATCCCTGCAAAATGGCCGAGTACGACCTCTTCTGTACACTGCTGGATTCGGTGCAGTATGATTTTAAACTTTCAACTCGATTCCGGCATGGGATAGCAGAATGACGGCTGTTGCGCGAAGGCAGTGATTTGTGTATGTGTGTGGCAACTTGGCATTCTTGGAGATGTTTTTCATCATTTGTGACAGTGAATTTTTGCCAACGCATCGTGACTGAAGTGAGGTGTACCCAACAGAATCGCGGATATCGACGACAGATTTCGGATGAATGAAAGAACGATTCATTATTGGGATTCATGTGGGATGAAACCGGACACAAAAGGTAAGATTTCAACATTTTTAATTGTTTTGATATGGGATTTTTCTAGACTGCATTAGTACCTTTTCATTATTACCGATTAGTATTTATTTTTTGCTATTTTAGTATATCATAATAGATCTATTATCATTCAGTGTTAGATCAGATGTAAATCTTGTTGAAAGCTGTTTTTGAGAAATAATAACTACATTTGTTTAGAAGCCTTGTGACAGTCTAGCGAAAGGGAGGTAACTTTCATGTATCGTGTGATCATATAACTTCGATCGTAACATAACTTCGATCGGCCATTTTGAATGCTTATTCTCGCGGAACCTGACGAGATATGACGTTACCTGGCGCTTTGATCTTCTGCCGACACCGATTTTTTTCGCCTGGACCGAAATATGCTTCGTGTCAAGTTAACCAACGTAAGTTATTGCTAATATACTACAAAATATACATAACCAATCATAGATCACTAATGTAACTTTTTCGACCCATATAAAATGCAAATAATTACGTAATGACATGAAGTATATCTGTGTGAGACCCATCTCTGCTTTGTTTACCATGTCACTATAAACGTCACGTGACCTGGGTCCGGCAGCTCTTGCCGAATTATAAAACTATGGAAGCCCAGTAGGGCCATCTCTTATCCTCTTTGTACATACATTTGGTACATTTCATGCGAGTAATAAAGGAATGCAGGTTGGTATAATTTTATTTTATAGGTTCTGCTTGATGGAGAAAAGACTGGGAGAGGTCAATATAGGCAATATTTATCTGAAGCGCTTGATAAGGCCTACACTGCCGTTTTGGATGGCATGGCTATCAGGAAAGCTGCCAGTACATTCTTCGTTTCCTTTGCAACACTCCATGATCGTATAAGTGGCAAGATTTCTATTGACTGTTGTACAGTTGGACGGGACCCGCTTTTGTCTATGGAAGAAGAAAAGGGATTGGTGTCACATATTGATGCTATGGCCAACTTTGGATATGGGTACACTCGAGCTGAAGTTACCACTTTAGCTACAGATCTTGCCATTCATCTGGGAAAGAAGTCACATGACGACAAGCCCCTATCACTTCAGTGGTTTTACAGTTTCATGAAGAGATGGCCTGACCTACGTGTGAAGAAACCACGTTCACTAGAACTACAGCGGGCGAAAGCAACATCTGAAGAAACTGTAACACGTTACTTCGATGAGCTTGGACACATAATGAATAAATATAACTTGAAGAACAGCCCTCATCGTATCTACAATGTTGACGAGAAAGGTCTTGTCGAGAACCACTCTCCTCCATCAGTCATTTCATCCAGCCAGTCTACACCAGTTGCAGTTGTATCCCCTCGATCAAGTACAACAACCGTTATTGGTTGCGGAAGTGCTTCTGGACAATGCATTCCACCATACTTTGTCTTCAAGGGGCAACGGATGCGCGATGAACTGATGACAGGATGTACACCTGGATCAACCGGCACTGTTAGTGATTCTGGTTGGTCAAACAGCGAGATTTTCCAGCAGTACCTACAGGACCATTTCTTGAAACATGCTGTCGCGGCATCTGCTGATTATCCACTACTTGTACTGTATGATGGCCATAAGTCACACGTATCTCTTCCTCTGATCAACTGGGCACGTGATAATCACATAATCCTGTTTGTATTGCCGGCACATACATCCCATGTATTACAACCTATGGATGTTGGCTGCTTCGGACCCTTTGCCAAGATTTATAACAATCTACGCCACAAACATATGCGGGACCATGCATCAAGCTCTGTTGACAAGCATTCTGTGTGTGAACTGGGTTGTAGAGCATATAATCTCGCACTAACACCAGCAAACTTGCAGTCTTCATTTAGGAAGTGTGGTATATATCCCTTTGACAAATCGGCGACAGCTACGATCAACTTTGCGCAGTCTACTGTTTTCAAGTCGCCAGTTAGTGATTCTAGGATGTCTCCCAATGAAGTCAGTGGAATCAACAAGCAGGGATCTAGGTCACGTGATGAGACAACTGCAGAGGAATTCTTCAAAGACAAAGAAAATGTACTCTCAAAGAAATCTGTGCCAACTAAAAAAAGAAAAGTTCTGAGTGCCGTGGTCGGGGGAAAGGCGATTACAGAAGACAGCGTTTTGGAAAAGATCATTTCCCACAAATCTGATAAGCCTGCACCAAAGAAGAGGGTCGGCATTTCCAAAACTAAAACCAGTGCTAAGAAGTCTGCTCGGAAATCTACTGATGTCACGAATTCTCAAAAGCCAAGCACTTCGGGTGTTACTTCACGAGTGTATCATGACGACTCCGATAGTTCATTGGACAATGACATCAGTGAGACAGACTTATGCTGTAAATGCAAGAAATTTGTACCCGATGCACTTCGAGATTGTGTCTCTCTTGTTTTTACTCCATGGGCACAGTGTACACACCCTGCGTGTCAACACTGGGTACATCTTCGTTACTGTACCCCCATTCGTTCTGTGCGTCGACATTCAGAATTTTGGTGCCCCTGTCACGACGAGATCGAAGAGTGACTATTTTCTCAGTGTTCAAACATGTATGTAAATTTGTGACTTTTCATCACTTATTTGCCGTTCTGGTGGAAAACTTGTTATTTCACATTTTTAATTAACTTGAAATAACTGTGGACGTTGTGATTGATAATTCTGACGACAAGAGCCTTCCATACATTCCTATCCGAGAAGGCTGCAGCCCAGCCAATCAGATGATCGAAGTAATGTGACATCACTTCCAGCAACACTGTTTTGATATCGACAGTGGCGGGCACGCCATGCGAGATTCGCACAATGGATTACTATCCATTTTGGACATTGAAACCTTGAATAAACCTATATGAAGGTAAGATACCCGTGAATGGTATTTATCAGTTAGTTTTCTGCGAATGTTAGCTTATTGCTTATGTGATCGAAGTTATATATCGCAAGGATAACTTCCTTTTGGTTTGTTTACAAAATGTTAAACGTTGCACACCTCTGAAGAAAATTGTAATTCTCTCAGTTGCTTTCGATAATGACCCATCAATTATTTCCCTCAGGCCATTCTCATCAACCTTAGCAAAGCGGGACTGTGGAGGGACGCTCGGTGTACAAGATGGAGCCGGGTCAGCGTTAACGCTGGAATTTCGAAGTGGAAACGTCCGGAGTGCTGGCATTGGTGTATTTTGGAAGATCATTATCTAGAAACAAGTATCATTTACTGATTCTTTGGCTGAATAATAATCTTTAAACTTGGAATATTGTACCAAATTAAATACTCGAATCCTAAAATTTGCGGAGCAGTTCATTTGTGAATAAACATCATTGAAGGATATTATTTTATGGCTCTTCAATCACTTTACTGTTATCTGATTACATATGATTATGTGCCATGTGATTGTATACACCATCATCTTTGAATAATTCTTCCAAGAATTTGTCGTCTTCAAAGATTGTATCAAAATCCCAGAGAAAGAATTTGAGGTGGTAATGTTCCTCAATTATGCAAATTCATGCAGCGAAAATAGTACGGTATTAGTGCCAACGTATTAATGTGCGGTTATAAGGCCATCATTTTCAGGTATGTCGAACAATATTCGACAAGGGTAATTAACCAATCAGATTGCGGAAAGCACTCACTATTGGTTTACAATGCTCAATGGACGCACAATGAAGGCAGAGAGAAGGCAGGGGCAAAGTTTTAATGTGGCGTCCTTTCGCCGACCGTTGTGCCTTCCCTATGCGTCCTGTTATCAATCCACCATGACGGCGACCGCTCGCGTTTGTTTTGAGCAAGTTCAATACAGTCACCACTACAGTGGCGTTCTGAGCCGTTCTTGGCGTTGGCTCTGCCTTTTTTCTGTCTTCATGGCGATGGCTCTGCCTTCTCTCTACGTTCTTCGTGTCTCCTTTTAGTGTTCAGTGGCGTTTTGAATTTTTTTAGAACGCAGAGAGAAGGCAGAGTGGTCGCCGTCCTGTGTAAAGGGGGCTTAATGGATGAGCTGGAAACATGAGTGAGTGAAGATGTAAGGTGAACCAAGCCCATGAGGAAGTCACACTCGAGTGTTCCGATAGGTTCTCGTGTCACGAGGAGGTCACACTCGAGTGTTCCGATAGGTTCGTATGTCCCGAGGAGGTCACACTCGAGTGTTCCGACAGGTTCTCATGTCACGAGGAGGTCACATTCCGATAGGTTCTCCTGTCCAGAGGAGGTCACACTCGATACTGACGCCTTCTGTTCCAAACGTTTTACCAATGTGAAATCATGGAACATCATGCATTATTCTTGCAACGAAATAATGGTGCATCCCTTTTCATCGTCTGTAATGTTACTGTATGATAGCAGTATGATGTATATCTAATTTCATGATAATGCACACGCTACTTCCATTTTGGGAGTAAATTTAACAATTGTCACGTTTTTGAATTTGGTTGAGTATAAATGGCTGCAAATTCGTATCAGGATTATATTTTTTGGTCAATTTAGTTGGTTTTGTGATGGACCTTGTATGAAAATGCATTATTATAAGTGGTTGCTTTTCCAGATAAAACTCAGAGGTTTTGCAAAGGACAAATGGGACAAAGAGACATCACTGTATTCAAAGTCAAATGTTGAATGTGTGAAAGGCAATTCAATGAATGCTGATACCGAGCACTAATCTAGTTCCTAGTTGAATTCTGAAACGAGTGAATGGTTTGATATCTAACAGGTTTAATAAATATGGTATTACACGGGACATTCTTTAGTATTATATTTACTACTCACCCAACCTTATCAAAATAATATCTCAGAATTCAACTTACAGAACGAGTGCATTACGCCGTCATAACAGGGGTCATTCGTGTGAATAGGCCTACATTTCTTTGATGATTGTCAACATTAGTGTATTTAATTTGATTTGTTTAATAAACACGGGGGTATGAAAAAGGGACTAAATGACTTCAGCAAACGTATTATTTTTTACTATAAATGCTATATAAATTACACGCAACCAAGCAAAGAACAGTTGAATATCGGGACTTGTTGTTTTGTGACATTTTGTTTTGATCACATTACTTTGGTCATGCGTAATGACATTGTAGATTCATTAAACTGTGATATCTTCAACGGGTGAGTAATAATATAAGGGTAATGCTATTTTTGAGGGCATTATCATTTGCAGAAGCCCGAGGTCTTCCATCACTGCCCGACGAAGGAGGGCAGTTGAAAAAGACCGAGGGCTTCTGAAAAATGATAATGCCCTCAAAAATAGCATTACCGTTATTATTGCTAAAATACATGGAATTTGTGTTGAAAAGAAAAAGGAAACAATGACGGAATTTGACTGTAAGTTTACCCAAATCAACTTTTGACGGGGTTGACTGCCCGAATGCAATTACGTCATCGAACAATTCAAGTGACGTCACAACAAAAAGTGACGATATTCGACCTTGGCCTTTGACAAGACCATAGCCTGCAACATGTGTTCGGTTTTGGTCCATCAACAGTCTTAATAGTGCAATTGTTAAGGTTAGCACCAACAAGAAAGCCTATATTACCGCTATTTAAAGCGGGAATGTGGGTTGCTTTGACTTGTTTGACAGTCGAAAGCCAATTAATGTCATTGTTTCCTATTTCTTTTCAACACAAATTCTATGTATTTTAGTAATAATATAAGGGTAATGTTATTTTTGAGGGCATTATCATTTGCAGAAGCCCGAGGTCTTCCATTAACACTGCCGCTGTTACAGGTCATTGGCTCCCTCCCTCTGCAAGCATTCTGCGTTCTGCTGTTTATTTTGTTGACAGTTACATAGACAGATTCTTTAATACAAATGCATAAAATCGGTGATTTACAACGTGATTAGGTTGTCTGACAAAACATCTACTTGCACAGTTTGAGATCGATTGGGTCATTGGATGAAGAGATATTTACAAAAAACCGGGTCCACATGCATTTCATGCCAAACTATACATAATACAGGTAACAGCCAAGCAGCCTCACGGTCCACATATCCCCGGTCTGTGTTCTCTACATAGGGTAGTCAACAAGGAAGTAGAACAAGCACATGAGTGGAGAGGAAAACTGAGAGTATCATGTGATAACATCATGTCAGTTAGTGCACACCTGTCTGTTTCAGATAAGGAAAAGTTGGAAAATTGGTAAAAGAGGTCAAGAAAACTAACACTTCATGATCATCTTAAAGAGAGTCACTACATTTTCAAGCGCTTGTCACATTCATCATTACGAAATAATAATCTAACTTGTTTTATTATTCGTGATATATATATAAAAGTGAATCCATCAATATATATACTAGTATTTTCAGTGTAATATCTTCATCAATCTCGATAGCGATTTTGCCGACATGTTACTGAAAGGTAAATATTCAAAGAATACATAACATTTAATGACTGTCAAATTGATTCATCTGATAACATTGACAACATCACCCGAACACAACCACACTCAGAAACAACATGCAAAATGTGTGGCATGAATGTCCTCCACTCTTCACACATGCACCCTGATCGGTGTAAACCTACCTGTAATCTTTCCTCTGGTACAACAAGCGGGTCCTAACTTCATTTTTATGGATGATAATGCCCGTCCATGGATGATAATGCCCCTCCATGGATGATTATGTCCGTCCATGGATGATAATGCCCGAGAAAGAGTTTTTAACGATGTTTTTAACATCACATATATGGACTGGCCTGCAAGGTCACTTGATCGTAATCCCACTGAAAATGCTTGGGACATTATTGGAAGTCGTGTTTACGGTCTCCATGTTCACCCCCAGACTCTGGATGACCTTGAGCAGGCGTTACAAAAAGAATGGCAGAACATTCCACAACAGCAACTTTAATGCTTCATTTGGTCAACGCAAAGACGTGTAGAAGCTTGCATTTGTGCTCATGTTGGTCATACGCGTTACTGAACACTGCTTCACTGTCCAAAACTGACTTGAACTTTAATGTTAACATTTTGCTCCATCAATGCAGCACATTTTGCACGACTGTTTCACGGGTACATGCTTTTGATGAAGTTTATTATTGCTCAGTACCATATTATTTCATTTTTTTAATCGTGTGTACATGTGTTTCATCTTTCTATTGCATCATTCCATGATTTGCAATTTCAATAAATGAACATGTAATGTGACTACAAATTTGTGTTGCTTAACTTTTTGTGAAGAGTATATATTTTATTGTTACATGGATTTCAACCTTCAATTCTCTTGAAACCGCTTTACAGAAATAGTTAAAAAGAGTTTTCACAAGACTACCAGTAGCCGATAAACATACCCTACTGATGACCGGACAAACCTGATGACGGGACACTCCTGATGACGGGACATGACCGATGACGGGGCATTGCTGATGGCGGGACACTACTGATGGCAGGACATTACTGATGACGGGACACTACTGATGGCAGGACATTACTGATGACGGGACACTACTGATGGCAGGACATTACTGATGACGGGACACTACTGATGTCGGTACATTACTGATGACGGGACATTACTGATCACAGCTATTCACAGGATATTACTGATGATGGATACTACTGATGACGGGACATGACTGACAACAGGACACTACTGATGACAGAACATTACTGATGACGGGACACTATTGATGACGGGACATTACCAATGACGGAATATTACTGATGGCAGGACTCTACTGATGACGGGACATTCCTGATGATGGGGCACTACAGATGACGGGACATGACTGATGACAGGGCATTACTGATTGCAGGACACTACTGATGATTGGACATTACTGATGACGGGACACTACTGATGGCGGGACATTACTGATGACAGGACATGACTAATGGCGGGACATGACTGATGGCAGGATATGGCTGATGACAGGACATGACTGATGACGGGACACTACTGATGACAGGGCATGGCTGATGGCGGGACATTACTGATGACAGGACATTACTGATGACGGGACATTACTGATGACAGGACATGGCTGATGACAGGAAATGACTGATGACAGGACATTACTGATAAGAGGACATGACTGATCACAGGACATGACTGATGACGGAACATTACTGATGACAGGACATGGCTGATGACAGGACACGACTGATGATAAGACATTACTGATAAGAGGACACTACTGATGACAGGACATGACTGATCACAGAACACTACTGATGACGTAATGGGACAAACAGATGCTGTTGAGTATCATGAAGCGCTTATTATCGACAGGCTGAGCCTTTTTAAGGAACAATATTGTCTTTGTCTCATGCACCATAACTAGATGATATTTATTATGAATAAAGTAAGCGTAGCCTTTTCTCATGGGGTTTCAGGGATACAGCCAGTCGCCACATTACCAGTACTTGGTGTAAGATACGTCTAACGATCTAAAAAGATCGGGTGGTCGGACTCACTGACATGGGCGATTGCATGTCCTTGTAGTCCGACAGCACAACGTATGGTACCAAGCGAAAAACGGCATGGGATTTGGTTATCATCAGGATATATATTCTCATGTAGCCTGACAGCACAATGTATGGTACCAAGCAAAAACGGCATGGGATTTGGTTATCATCAAGATATATATTCTCATCCATATGGTATGGGCGAATGGTTTTAAGTGGTTGATGGGGTGAGGTGTGTGCGCATTAGGTGGCTAAAGAGGTCAAGAGCCAAATTCAGAATTTGCATCTTGTAGCTAATTTCACTACTTTCGGATAAAACCATCTGTTGGTCATTCTGAGAGGCATGCTTCGAATGTGTCGACTAATGTCATCTTTACTCAGCAGTGAGATCAACACCGAGTTCTTTGAGAACAGTAAGGTGATTTTGACGTTGACGTGCACTACTGCCCGTGATGTCGCAGACGTGTTCAATGGATGAAAGGACAGGACAGACAGCGGACCACTGCATGACATGGGTGTTTTGCTGAGGGAGGAAAAGGGTCACAAGCCTGGAATACAAGCACGTATATTACCATCCTGGGAGATGAACCAGACCGTTGTGCAAAGGTCACCCGATGAAACACCCGATTTGATGGCAGCAATATTAGCAAAGGATATATTTTAAAAAGTACTCTATTTTGTTGGTAGGCATTATAAATAATATACTATTCAACTCTAGGTCCTGAAGTGAAGATTTGCGTGACTATGTTTTTAGCGCATTGGTGTATGTTGGGATTTGCACTATTTCCTTTAAGTTTGGCTTTAGGAAGTATACACTTTCCAATGGTGAGTATAGTATAATGATGCAACCACAATTGCTTCAAGGCGAGTATTGGTGTTTCTTCAAACCGAAAGCCATCTCAAGATATTGAACTAAACCAATGTCGCTTCATTTCTCCGCTTAATCCCCATATGTCACTAATAATTATGCCATGGTAGAATGTAGAAAACCATACTATAAGTTCTGGTTACAAATTCAGTTCAGGGAGATTACAACCATAGATAATCTAGCGCTTCATTAAAACACAGTGTGCTTATCTACTGAGGGCCGAGAAACAATAAGGTGTAAGTTAGGGTGTTTTGTATATAGTCATGCGGATAACATGAAATGTATAATCTTTTGACTGCTGAGCTGCTTCATTCAAAAGGTGGGAGAGCTGTCTAAGGCGCCGCGCTAGTAATCGAAAGGTGTTCATAATGTTTTGATTTCTTCTTTAACACTAGTCGTGCGCGCAGTGACGTCCGTTGTTTCGATCACGTGGTAAACTATGCGCACTGGTTTTCATGTTACACTTCATAGACCCAAACTTACTCTGGTTCATACATACTACTATAAGGAGTTTTGTGAAGGAAGTAGCCGGGTCGATTGTTTTCTTGGCACGATTTTAAGATCGTCTGGATACGATATTATTATAAGGTTATTTCACAACATTAGACGTGAAACGTTGATAAATTTTATTCAAATAATTTCAATAAACTGACTTTACCATTCAAAATCAAAGGCAACTTCGTCATGACACCACATGTTTTTACCTTGATCATTAGATAAGTGTGCTTACACATTTCATTTCAACTCCCCTCGGAGTACAAAGCCTATGCTGCCCCATAAGGCGCAAAGTTTACAAACATATAATGATCCGATCCTGAAACGTGCCCACCCACTCACTCAGTTGCCCGATAACACATGCCATACTTCAAATGAAAACAGAGAAGCATCCAAACGGCCCATGTTTTTGCAAGGGAAAACATTTTAGCTGTAGAGATTGACCGTTATACACTCTCTCAAAAAGAAACGCAACCCTATCTAAATATCTGACATCATTTCTAGAATAAAGATGGTGAATGTAAATTAGAATTTTCTTCAAAATACTGTTAATACGTTCCCATCTGATCAGTATAAGCTCCCAAACGGAACCATTTTCACACATGATGACCTTTGTATCCGTGTTATTTGAGAAAGTGCAGAAATTGTCATGTACAAAATGCTAAAAGCCTGTTGCACGTGCAAATCGTTGAAAACACAGTTCATGTAGAGGGTTTTAAAAGCACGTGTAGTTTGTAATTTTTCTCTCATAATTTGCTCTGCAAATCAAGTTCGAAAATGCCCCGTTTGAGTACAGCAAATCGAAATATTGCCATTGGTCGCATTGAGGCCGGGAAAAGCTTTGGAACAGTTGCCCGTCATCTAAACGTACACAAAACAACAATCTCACGACTTTGGAATCGTTACACACAGTTCCATGCAATTGAAGATCGTCCCAGGGGCGGTAGACCTAGGATCACCACACCGGCTCAGGATCGCTTTATTCGACTCAGCCACCTACGTAATCGGCATGCCACACCCACCATCACTGCAACACAGGTGCCAGGTTTGAGGAGAGTATCGGCCCAAACCATCAGGAACCGTTTACATGAGGCAAATTTACGTGCAAGAAGACCAGTTGTTGGGCCCGTCTTGAAACGCCAACATCGACGCCAACGTCTCAGGTGGTGTACTAACGTAAGGAGATGGACCCTAAGAAACTGGAGAAGAGTCTGGTTTAGTGACGAGTCTCGTTTTCTTCTTCAACGACGTGACGGTAGACAACGTGTCTATAGACGAGCAAATGAACGTTTTGCACCGAACTGCGTTCGACAGGTCGACAGATTTGGAGGAGGAAGCATCATGGTATGGGGAGCCATGTCTTACAACCAACGGTCAGACTTGGTCATCATTCGTGGCAATTTGACGGCACAACGGTACATTGATGACGTCTTACAGCCACATCTTCTGCCGATAATCGCCCAACAGAGGGAGTTGTTTCAACATGACAATGCCCGCCCTCATACAGCTCGTGCAACAGTGGCATTCCTACAGAATTCAAACGTCAACGTGATGCCGTGGCCCTCCAGATCGCCAGACATCAATCCTATCGAACATCTGTGGGACCAGCTGGATCGTCGTGTTCGTGCACGTACACCACAACCGCACACGTTGGTTGAACTGGCCGCAGCACTCCAGGAAGAGTGGAGAGCAATCCCCCAGGAAAACATCCGCCGTCTGATTCGTTCTGTTCCGAGGAGGTGCACTGCTGTGATTAGAGCTCGTGGCTCTACAACGAGATACTGAAGACAACGCCCCCTAGCGTAAATTGAGAGTTCGATACTGACCTGCATTAACTGTTACCTTATACCGTGCTGACCTAAGGTTCACCATGTCAAATTTCATGGCATTATCTTTAAAAATACAAATGTAATAACCAGTTAAAATTGATATAAACATTACCAAAAAAAACAGGGGTTGCGTTTCTTTTTTGAGAGAGTGTATTTTGGAAAGTTGCTCAGTAAAGCAATACGGTCTATTTTAGGCACCAGGTTTAAACCTGATAGTGTCTCTATGACATCAAGAGTATGTACATTGTCGACTAATATGACGTTTAAAAAACAGTGAATAAGTAATTAAACTTCAAAACACGGACATGTTGTGTGCATATTCCGAAGAAAGAAAAATCAATATGTCTTTTGATCTATTCGAACAAAACTTCACATAAGATACTCAAGTGGAAACATCATGATAATACATTTCCCCCTGAATCATTTAAAAAGATAAATAAAAACAATTCTAAGATGAACTGAAACACCCTCTACACACGTCAAGACTGTAAGATTTCCAGAAGTGAAATATCTTCATTTTCTTCCGTTTGGTTTACCGTTTTACAATTGCAAATCAGTCCTGTGATCCAAACGTTCCACCTTCAGTGAACATGACACTGGGTAGATAAACCGTCATATGTACGTTTGATTAAACTGTCTTTGTGGATCTTACTTTAACTACACCCATATATTATAAATACTACAAATATTCTATGACCACCTTCAACCCTATAGTCATCACCCTAATACATCTATTTCTAAACTATCTATTACCTTAGAAATGTTACTTTAATCTATTCTGCCACAGTGGCGTTGTTTCCCTCAATATATGCCTGATACTGAAGTAGATAATTTGCTTAAATCTACTCTCGTGGAACTAGTATATCTAAAACAACACTGTGTTGGGATAACCCAATCTTACTATACAATCAACGCAATTTCTCTTGTCCAAGAATAATGTCCTTTTACACGACCATCTACAATATCATAAGATTCTAAACCACCAATTACACCACTATCACGGTTTTAGTTGTCTCTGACACTAATTCTAATGTATAGAGTATATATACTAATCAGACGCCTAACTATTGGTCTCAAACGTATGGTTGTAGGTGTCATCCAAACTCTTTACAACGATCCCGGCATGAGCCACGTGATAGTCACCTTCTTCAATCTCCTTGTGTATCGCGCAAATGTGACTGTACGATTCAGCTTCTTGTCTTACGTTTCCCCCTTGCTGTGTGGTGTCGTAGAGTCCCTTTGCTCTTTCCATGTGGTCATACAAACCAGCATCTCCTTTACACTTTTGCATGGAGCTGTGGTTCTCGAGCACGAAGTACTGAACTCCCTCGGAACTGGCTACACCAGTAACTGCTGCAGATGCATCTGGACCAAGACTGACAGCTCCTTCATCTCCACCTCTCGGCTGAACACCTTCCGCTGTGTTGTAGTAGTGAAGATGCATGTGAGGGGCTCCTGCTGGCATCCCGGTGTGTTGTTTGGGGGCCGTCTCTTTCTCGACATCAGTCACTGAATTGCAGATATTCTCAATGTGGCTTGTGGGGTTTACTGTCGCCGTTAGAGCTGGATGAGTGAATGGTTTCCCGTCAAGTATTTCTGGGTTTATATAAGTATAGTCACCATTTTCTTTCGGTACATCGGGACTACAGGTCGCGTTTTCTGTGGATGTTTTGATACTCGACTGTTGATATATTTCCTTTGTTCCCAAACCAAGTTTGCGTTGTCTGCAACATAATTTGCAACACTGAATACAATGTAAAAATGTCCTGAATAGTTAATACAAATCAAGTAAATGGTTAATGTGTTCCAACCAAAGGAGATTAATTGTTGTAATGCTTGTCATGTCATAACTCGAAGTAGCTTTAAAGTAAAAAAATCCAAAAATACGAATAGGGGATCACCCCACACATCAGATCAGCCAGAATTGAAGGTTACCATTTTGGTATTGAACTCAGTCATACTGTTGGCAGCAACTGTTGTATAGATGCTGCTGGATATCAAACTGAAAATGTATTCTTTACAAAATAATTATCATATTGCAGGAGTGAATGGTTGGTGTACTATGTTTTGTTTGTTTGTTTGTTATTTAATGCCGCACAGCAATATTCCAGTTATATGGCGTCTGTAAATCGAGTGATCAACAGCATGAACATCGATCAACGCCATACGATTACATGTGTCATCTAAGTCAGAGATCCTGACCAACCGATCCTGTTACGACAAGCATGTGTTGTTGAAGACAAATTTTAACCCAGCTCTTCACGAGTCTGGTGTACTATGAAATTATGCAATATCTCTTGTCCCATTCTTCCTGAGACATCATGATTTATGAACATTTGTGGATGGCAGCACTAGTGCTAAAGGAATGTTCAGTTTGGTTCTTTCTATATTGCCCGAAGGTATGTGTAACATGTCTTTATACACGGGAATATACAGCACTGGCAGCTCTATAGCAGGGTATCTAAAAGTAGTTAATTGATTTCTTTATAGTATGTAACAGTGATACGTGTAGAACATATATTTTGCTTCACAGACACAGACTACAACTACCCCTCCCATGGAGTGGAATGGAAAAGTTAGAATTATGTCTGAAATAACATTTCTTCATATTCTGTGATCTGTGCGCTTATTGGAGAATTGCTGGTTGGATGTTCACCTTTGCAGAAGAAGTACAAGAGCGATGACTATCAGTAGGAGTATCGCATTGCCCACAGACAGTCCTATGACTACACCTGGAAATAAACAAAAACTTGTATAAAACATCCTGATAAACTCGTTTACTCAACAAATATTGGGAATGTAAATTTACGCTGAAAACTGTCAACACAATAACTGTAAACGATATACACTCATGTGCCCTGTAATGACAAAGGGCCCGTTACAAGAGATCTTACAGATAATGGCAACTCACATACTATAACATACAGCAACAATAACCATAGAACCAAGTCATATTGGTTAATACCAACTATTACTAAATTTATACTCTTCTCAATATTGTGAAGACACGGATATTTGTAACTGTTTTCTGTATAATGTATTCTTTTATTTGGGACTTTTAATAATACTATTGCTGGTAATTGTACGACATTTAAATTTATTCAGAATCGAACACCGGTTTTCATTGTGACGAGCGAAACCTTCTCTGACAGGGCTACCAACGACTACTGCAGTGGATGCTTACCATTCCAGCCATCAGCATGTCCATCTACATCTGACTGACCTTCGGTTGAAGGATGCTTACCATTCCAGCCATCAGTATGTCCATCTACATCTGACTGACCTTCGGTTGAAGGATGCTTACCATTCCAGCCATCAGTATGTCCATCTACATCTGATTGACCTTCGGTTGAAGGAACGGAAGCATCTCCCCCTGATGATGGAGACTGAGTTCATGATGGTATTGACACTGACGTTAGTGCTGGTATTGCTTATTGTGAGGTAAAAAGATAAGAAATACATGTGTATTGTTTCTTTCAGCAAATACACATCTGACTTTCAGCATGTCCATCTACATCCTCCTGACTGACTGTTGACAAGGATGCTGCTGCTCTTTCAGCTAAGCTGCTTAGGTGACATGACAAGTGAAATAGTCTCATGGAATTGTCAAACATTTGATTTTACATCTTTAAAATGATGTGATTAACTGTTTTGTAATGGAAAATTGAATTCATTTGAATAACTACTTGTAACAACCTCCAGACTGAACTATTTTTCAAAGCTGACATAGAGTAGACTTGGAATTGTCTGTGGGTTCTCTTCAACCAACAACCATTGTCCATTAAAAATCATAACCAGTAGGTGCGTAATAGTTCGGCTGAGGCGGAGGGTAAAACTGACTGAAAGAAAGGGTGCGTTCACGTATTTTAACGCTGATGGACAATTTGAGCTACGTTCAATACGTTGTGAAAATACAGAAAATACCAACTAAAATAAATGTCAAACCAAACGTCCTCCTAAACATTAAATAATACCATATAAAGTATATTCAACAAGGACCGTTTAACTTCACAAGTGAGTATAACGGTAGGGAAGGTCATATATCGAGGTACAAGTATCATCTACTTAGATGTGAGTATCATCATACGACATGATATAAAGTATGGAGTTTGGTACTGATGGTGTATGGTGTAAACACGTGAGATATTATGGCACAAAACCAACATTCAGCAAATACAATTCCTTAAGTTTGAAATGCAGTGTGCAGATACACACTGACTGCAATATCAACAATATGGCGGTGTATCACATTCATTGATAGAACCTGTTCATTTTTGTCCAAGAAATGCACCCTCACTGGACAATATGTTACTTTTGTTAGGGATGTCCACTGGACTGCAACTATTATTTCCTATGACTGTTCAAGTCTCTGGTCGGGGTCTTTTTTCATAGGCGCACACAAAATTCCGATCTCATGTACTAAATATAGAAATCACGTAATGCATTATATCAACCATGAAGGAAGGCATTTTAAAGGGTCAGGGCGTCTACATCCGTTGATTGAGGACAGAACAGATCCAATATTTTGCTATCATACACACATTAATCACACCCATTTATCGTGAGAAAATAAACTTTGGCATTTCTACTCAGAGTGAAAATCTGAGATTCTAATTATACCTGTAATCAATCTTGAAAATAAAAGCGGCATTGTAAATAAAAAAACCCATCCGTCTGCCATAAGGAATCTCTGCTATAGTGTGAGAGAATATGGTTTCATGCAACTTTTAGCGCTATTCCATGTGACGATAAAACAGTGTGAAACAGTAAGGATATCAGGTGTTCGCGAAAAGGTAAGCCTATCCTGCCGCAGCATAACATTCCTTCACTAAAACATGCAGAGGCAATCAACTGTCCAGACGTAAAGTAAAAGAAGGAAGACAAAACACACTGGAACATAATTGTGCAAGTCAAAACACGGAACTGTGAGATGATGTGCCAAATTTGAAACAGTTCGTTAAGCACTGATTTGACATAATTGTTACCTTCACAAATAGAAGCAAGATGGAGAGAGCACGGTAACCAGTACAACTTCCTTGTTCTATTGGTTTTCAAAGCAAGGCACATTTGTATAGGCGAGTTCAAAAACGGGTAGTAATCTTCATATCCATAGGCGTTATTTCCTGGAAACATACAGGCATAGTTCACTGTAGAGCACTTTCACCAACATGTATAAGGCAACTGAGTGCGTTAAATCAAGTAGGGACATCGATTTATCCCAACAACTGTTTATCGCCTTATCACTAGTCATATTTTGTCGACGTATTTTAACACCACTTGGGAGCTACTGATATTTACAATGTATGCCATGAAGAATGAGGACTATTTATATGCATGTGAGGGGCTCATAATTCATTTTTGGAATTTTCCAGCATGCATGGCATACATTGACTTCTTTGACTGGCATTCTAGAATTTCGGTAGATGAAGAAAGAAGACTATTTTTATGGATATACAACTTCTTTATTCTGTATAGACGACGTTTCGACATAGATTCTAATGTTGTTGTGAAGCAACGACATTAGAATCGTATGGAAACATCGAAATCGTATCGAAAATGGCTTCACACATTGTACCCATGTGGGGAATCGAACCCGGGTCTTCGGCATGACGAGCGAACGCTTTAACCACTGGGCTACGCCACCGCCCCTGATCTGAACAGATTGCTGTAAATGCAATTAATCAAAGGATCCAATTCCGTTATACTTGCACACTGGGATACATGCTAAAACATTCTGAGACATTTTTGCACATTTCGACATATTTTACACATTCGGACATAGTTGAACAATTGTCAATCTTTCCTCTACTGAGTGTGATGGACGAGGCTCACGTGGGCGATGACTATTTATTCAGTGAGAGACGCGGCATACATTCAAGGGAGATCACTCCGACAGCCTTATCTAGGTCAACACGACCTGGCTCATGATACTGTCATTACAACTACTCCACACTGAGCAAATCGGATATAGTGCACTTCTTACACTCTTCGAACATGCTACCGTCCTCTGATGTCTGTCTCAGTGGTTTTGACAGAGTATCCTTTGATGATAGTGTGACTTCAAAATCAGGCCAATCGAGATTGTGTCATATACAAAATGGTTTCAACAGATATCTCAATCTGCCACGTTTGAGATATTCCGCTACAGAATAAAGACCCGTGAAGATTCGGGTTAGAATATTGATCTTCAGTAACCCATGCTTTTCGTAAGAGGCGACTAACGGGATCGGGTGGTAAGGCTCACTGACTTGGTTGACACATGTCATCGGTTCCCTTGTGCGCAGATCGATGATCACTGGATTGTCTGGTCCAGACTCGATTATTTATAGACCGCCGCCATATAGCTGGAATATTGCTGTGTGCGGCGTAAAACTAAACTCACTCATTCACAGATTAGAGACGCGAAAGAGACTAGATCGGAGTCGTAATGTATGCTACTCCTTCAGCACTGGCATGGTTTCGATGTAGGAATATTTTCCAATTTCCGCATTTAGATCTAGATATGTACATACAGAAAACATTTCTGACGAGAACCCTGTTATTATGCAAGTACTGCAGCATAATTCGAGCCATAATTTGCATGTTCTATTATCATATCGTTAATACTGACAGATGTACAAGAGCAATTCTGGAGGAACCTACCATTTATCCATTTCCTTGAGACTTTATATGCAAGACCAATCCAAATCCTGTTATTCGATTGACTTTTCTCTAGATGTTCTATAGTAGAATTGTCCAATTTGACCAAACGACAATTGTGATAAGCCTGTATCCATGACTGTCTGTCCTTTCCTGACGAAACACAGACGGCCTCATTACAGTTGGTTTCCTGTGATGCTACAACACAGACGTAGGGGAAATGTAAGATTGAATGACAGAGGCGATGACACACGGGTGGTTTATGGACTAACTGTTAAAGAAAACTGTTGGAGTAATGATAGCTTCGTTATCAAACCAGGAAGTGTTGCTCTGGTTGAAAAGGGTGTGTTTTGCGGTTTTTAGTTGGTCATCAAAATTATTGTTGAGAACATCTACCTGATAAAATTACACTTTAACCCATGTGACAACAGCTGAAGGAGAGGTAATATCGAAACATGAGGAAATTGCCAAAATGTTCATGAAACAGAGCTCGCACTGCATCTGTAAAATGTCTACATCTTAAATAAAATTTATGATTTGGTTAATTAAAACATTCTTCTTATTTTTTTGTTCAAACATGTTTTACAGCCGATCCAATTAAGGCTTCTGTAACCTACATCCACCAATTTTGACAAATTTATAGTATGTTGACTTTGATAAATTATGATATCTTAGTGTTCGTTGATTTTCAGTCAGTATATTGCCAGTACGTACTATTTTGATAACATGCAGATGTTCTGTTTTGTGTTAAACAATGGCGGTAATGGTTGAGGCCTACGGAGATAGAGCCATTGACAACCGCATAACCACATGCCCCATGTTGTGTCGGTCGAAACTCAAAGTGTCCTGAAGATAAAAAACATCGACAACATAACATGCAATCCTTCTTGTGACGCAAAAAGATGGAACACATTTTAAGAAACATATGACACGATCATTCGATTTTTACCTGAGGAACCTTATTGCAGACAAACGCTTATTTTTCCCATGACGTTTAACAATGATTCAGTTAGTTTACAGAGTGATAGGACTCACATACCTGCACCATGTGTATACACTGACATCCAAGTGCTGTTCCCACACTTTTCATCTAGGTTGCCCGGACACTGCATCTCTCCTGCACTGGTGTTTGTAGCTTCACACTTTTCATCTAGGTTGCCTGGACACTGCATCTCTCCTGCACTCGTGTTTGTAGCTTCATATGTCTCGTTAAGACAATAGCATTTGTTGCCCTAATTACAACAAGGACACTTTCAGAAAATAATATACTGTATCGCGATTTAGTGCTGTGTCCAAAGTGGCGACATTTTCGATGAAGCCTATTTTGAAAGGTCATATTCAGCACTTGAGCTTTGTCTAAAATAATAGTGGATGGTATCAAGAAACAGGAAATTTCCCGCAGAATTCGAAAATGTGAAGTGTATTTGTGTGCGTGGGATATTTTGATTTTTATTGGACTTGAAATTGAGGGTTGAAGGGGAAGGACATATATGTCCCTGTGGCATCCAGGGGTTTAAAGGGCTATTTTCAGCTCCGCCGAACAGGCCCTTCTCCAGCATTCATCCATTTCGACCATACTCCACTAACCAGGTATCATAAGTTCCATAAATATCAAAAGCTTTTCTTCTTACTCATTCTGAATTGGAGTAGCCATGAATGGGGTACCCTCACATCTCGTCCAGCACTACGGCAGGTGGAAATAACAATGCTATCAGTCTTATATAGGACTACCGGCAAAATTATTTATCGTGTCAGATACCTAAATTAAATAAAACAGAAATAATGACTTTCAATGTCACTTTAGCATATTTCTTTCCAGCCTGGATGGTAGGATCAAGCTGCTTGTCGAGAGCTTTTGCCACAGCTTCCGCTATTGGTACCCTACAAAAAAGATTCTGTGGCTAATGAGGTATTGCCTTGCAGTGGGCAGAACTGGACCGGGTCATTCATGCTGAAGTCCATGCGTTGCAGCGCTGCCCTAGAGCTGTGGTGATCCACCTGGGCTCCTATGACATGTGTTCAGTCAAGACAAGCCATTAGACATTGATAAAGCTTATGCAGAATCACCTGCCAGGGACCCATGTCTTCTTTTCTAACACCCTTCCACGTCGCTACTGACCCATATAAGGTACACCGTACCAGAGTCAACCTAAATAGGTGTCTAGCCAACCGTTTAGTTGGCATTCTGAACTCTTCATCAATCCCCATCCAAATATAGTTGTCCTTTTGAATAATATCAATGAAAGTATTTATATCAATGCGTTTTCAGTCCCTTAAGACACAGACGTGTCTGACATGTGATTCAGGTGAAACATGGCAAATATGCAGACCTTGCATATAAAATAATATGCTTGCTGGTGCATTAGGTCCGGTACTCCCAATCTCTAGCTTAACACTGGGAGAGTAGCTGGGTTTGATGCCAGAAATACAGCCCTTGTGATACTCTGGGTAATACAGAAGGCTGTTTTTGAGAGTCTGACAGTGCCGGGATCATCCAAACTGTCTTTACTGCATTTATTTATCCTTAATCTGTGAATAGTAATAAAGGGATTGTTTTTATCATACTTTAGCGACCACTTGTTTTCGTAGGTTAATTAAATGAGTGCCAACATTGCCAAAAGTTTCGTTTCATAAAATTTCTCTATAAACAGTAAGTGTGACCCAGAAGTCAATACAATATTAACTCTTACGCTCAGCCCTGTTCTGTCAAATGTTCTGTTCTTGTACATCTTTGTACATGCAAGATGACACTCATACACAGAGTTATAAGGCAGGTATTTGGCGGCTGAACCTGGTCCACTGCCGCTGTACCCGACATAGTAGACTAACAACTAGTCTCTGAAATGAACATATTATACTGAAAAAAGTTCATAGTAAAAAAAATATATATAATGAAAAGGAGCCCTGAGACTTTCTTCATTTTGACTGAGGAAATCTAGACTTGCCACATTTTCTAGACTTGCGAGGGCTTTCTTTGATATATTTGCTTCAGGGTCTGTACGAGAGACTACCGACATAGCTGTACAGCGGACTTTCATCGGCTGCAATATAACACAAATGTGAATAAGAGACATTATCTTTAGAAAGGAAAAATCATAGCGTCAACACATGCACATTGTTTGTTTGCTTGGGGGAGGGCTGGTTAGTAAATCGGTGCTTAGTTTATAGTTGTATGATCCCCAGGGAGTTGATATTGATAATAAGAAGTGCCGTTGAGATTGACATCCAATGATCGAGGGAAAAAATACCAGCGCCTTGAGCATGCTCTTTGCGTGGATATGTGCGCTATGTAAATATCCAATAGTAATAATAAAACATAAATAATAATTTTCTGACCCGCAGTGGGGGCCTATGATATACATGCCTGCATGGATGCCATCAGTGTTACCACTGTCATATGCATTGGTTCCACGTCCTAATACTAACCTGTCCATATCCACGTTGAATACCTCATGGCTCCCACCCAGTAGAAGGTGTCGTTGTTGAGAATTCCATCCAAGACTGAAGGAAGGGGTTCTTTATCAGCAATATACAGATCTCTCTCATGCTCCGTTGTGCAGTTTCTCCGAGCGTCCCACCATGTGTTCTCAGTCTCGGTTATGTTGAGGTATTTTGTCCCAGTGGCTGTAAAGGATTACAATACAAGTTTCTCTTGTTCAGAATTTCACTGCGCAGTTATTTACATTGCAGATGAGTCGATTCGACTTAGTAGTAGGTATGGTTAAGTAGTAGTAGGTTAAGAACGTAGCTAATTTCGAAAATATTCTGTTACTGTTATGTGTTTTAACAACGGTCATTTCAGCATCTACAGTTTGTCATTTTGAGACGAAAATGCTAAATGAACAACATGGTTTTGTATCGCAAGGTTGATGAATAAAAATGAAGAAATGGCAATGATTTCCATTGGCATAAGACATCGTAAAGTCCCAAACGACAGAAATGACTAAATTATTAAGATTATGTATCTGAAGTGTCTTTAAAAACAAGTATGCTCAAGTCGGCATGTCTGGAATAGTATCACAATTACGACACCAGTTCTGAGATCTAAACTTCTTTTGCACAGATATAAAATATAATTGCACTACATATAATTTTACAAGCGATATTACAATGACAATGGATAAAAATGTCATAAACAACCATTTTTGACTACTCCCATTATCGCTCGTTGAATGTTATCTTTTTATTTTTATTTCACCATTGAACTACAATGCAACGATATTTTGCATAGTCGCTTCATCTGAACTTTGGGACAATGTGGCGCTGGGACAGATTAGTTTGTGTTGCAATGCTGTCACTTGAATGCTGTTCAGGCCGCGTCATTCACTCATGCGATCAACCTTGGCGACCATGCGGTTAGAGAACTTGAAAGTGAAAATTAAATCACTGCTAACCACGTCGCGTAAACACCGTTTCACCCAAAAAATTGATACCCATCCACGGTACAAAACACGTGCCGCTTGGGCAGACATAACTACACGCGCAATCAAGGTACAGAAATTATACAGACGGCACTGGAACCTCACCCTGAACAACGCGTACCTTGGTATGTATATATACAGATGGGAGCCATCCATGTTCACATTGCTAGAACATTTGATTGCTTTCATGTTACTGTAACTAGAGACTATCAAATAGCGATGAAACAGGTGTTCGCGAAAAGGTGAGCGTCATAAACATAGGCAAAGGCTTGTCAAAAGTTCACCTGAACAAATTCGGGAACGTATGGTACAAGTCAAAACAGGGAATTGTATCTGACATAAGTTTTGTGCAAAAAATGTTTAAACGTCCTTCACATGTCAACCATAAAACATTTTGAAAGCTTTACTGACGCCTTGAATGTGGTAACCTTGATCGAACAACTTCTGAGCTAGAGTCGTACGACGCTCTTTGAAATTTTGGTAAAATGAGCATGTTCGATTGTACCTGAAAAGTTGTGAAATGTAAACGCCAAAGGCGGTAGCTGTTGAAATATTGCTCGGCATAAAAGGGAAGTTGAAACTGAATATTGGAAAGTTGCAATGACCCCTTTTATCTTTTTGGGAGCGTTTTCGTCACTCTGAATGTTTATGCGTAGATCTAAATACACTCTCCAAAAAGAGAAATGCATAAGCCGTTTTAGAAGAATTTATTGCGTTAGTTTAAGAGCAATTATTTCATGTAATTTCAATGGTAAAAAAGGTGGAAATTCACACATCTGTAGACAAAGAGTTCGCCAAGACAACAGCATCCTTTATTGTTGTATTTCTGGTTACTTGAGTCCACAAGGTGGCGTCAAAGTCTGTACTGTGTATGGCCACCATTGTCAGCAATTACTGCTCAGTATCGTCCCGGCACAGACTGGATATGTCTGGATATATACGCGTACCTTGGGTATACATACCCCACTCTTCCCCACTCTTCCTGCAATGCGATGGCTAGTTGTGGAAGCGTCTGACGTGTTTTGACGTTGACATACACGTCGATCGAGTTCATGCCATAGGTGTTCTATCGGCTTTAAATCTGGTGAACGGGAAGGCCATGGCAAGACATTGACGTTAGAATTGGCAAATTAGCGGATCGTGACGCGTGCTGTACGTGAAGTAGCGTTGTCATGCTGGAACAACTCCCTGAACCACAACTAAATCTGATCTCTGAGTGCTGGATATAACACCCCACACCATGACACTTCCTTCGTCGAATCTGTCGACCTGGCGAATGCAATTAGCGGCAAAACGTTCATTTCTCCAACGGTAAACATGCTGTCTTCCATCTCGCCGGTGAAGAAGAAATCGTGATTCATCACTGAACCAGACTCGCCTTCAGTTTCTAAGGTTCCAGACTCTACGACACCACCGCAAGCGATTGCGCTGATTCCTGACAGTTTGGTCGGCAAGTTCTTCTCAAACCAGGGATGCGTTGTGCAGTCACCACGGCTGTGGCAATATGATGAGGCAAGTGGCTGTTCCCCTATTTTATACTATCAGTATATTAAGCTGTTACGTATTTTACGTGGATTAGAAAAACTGAAAAATTAATAACAGCGGAATTCTTCTCACTTATCAAATTCCCACGTAAAATTATGAAACAATCGACTGAAGATGTCACGAGATGCCTAAAGTGTTATGTCTTTCGCAGTACATACCTCTGTTTAACAATGAGTTATGAAGGTTAATGGTTTTACTCACATATTTCATTGTATTACCGAGTGCATAGAGCTAGAATCACCGGGTGCAAAGGATTTAATACAGAGAGTGAATACTTACATATGTTGACACTAGTTGCACACACACAGTGAAGGTAACAGACGAGCAGCCCCACGGTCCACATATCTCCGGCCCGTGTGCTGGAGTGGTGTACCCAAAGAGGAAGAGAGGAAAACTTGACTGTATCACACAACCAGTCAATGTCGCTTATTTCACTAGCCTATTATACATGCCTGACATCAGTATATCATGCTTTCCATTGGAGGAAAATACTTTCCTCTTCTTCATTTAACGTCCGGGTATGTGATAGGTGTGCATTCATTCATAATACGTCGTAGGGAACTGCGTATAATGTAACATTCATTATTATCTAAGCGAGCGTGTTTTCGCTACGTGTCCTCATCTCATAATCCAACACACCAGGGTTATACTCCTTGGTATCCAAGTTATCGTTCCCCAAGAAATCCATTAGCTTTCTGATATTATTTTGGAGTTTTTTGTCACTCGGAATCTATATCCATAGATATATATGAAACAGATGCGGGTATCACGGGTCTACCTTATGTTTGGTTCAGTTTGGTTGTGGTAGGTGGTGGGTACGATCCAGTCAACTATCTACCTCCGACCACACATATAAGCAGTGGTAGGTACGATCCAGTCAACTATCTACCTCCGACCACACCTATAAGCAGTGGTAGGTACGATCCAGTCAACTATCTACCTTCGACCACACCTATAAGCAGGGGTAAGTACGATCCAGTCAACTATCTACCTTCGACCACACCTATAAGCAGTGGTAGGTACGATCCAGTCAACTATCTACCTCCGACCACACCTATAAGCAGTGGTAGGTACGATCCAGTCAACTATCTACCTCCGACCACACCTATAAGCAGTGGTAGGTACAATCTAGTTAACTATCTACCCCCGACCACACCTATAAGCTTTGGTAGGTACGATCCAGTCATCTATCTACCTCCGACCACACCTATAAGCAGGGGTAAGTACGATCCAGTCAACTATCTACCTTCGACCACATCTATAAGCTGTGGTAGGTACGATCCAGTCAACTATCTACCTCCGACCACACCTATAAGCAGTGGTAGGTACGATCCAGTCAACTATCTACCTCCGACCACACCTATAAGCAGTGGTAGGTACGATCAAGTCAACTATCTACCTCCGACCACACCTATAAGCAGTGGTAGGTACGATCCAGTCAACTATCTACCTCCGACCACACCTATAAGCAGTGGTAGGTACGATCCAGTCAACTATCTACCTCCGACCACCTCCGACCTATAAGCTGTGGTAGGTACGATCCAGTCAACTATCTACCTTCGACCACACCTATAAGCAGTGGTAGGTACGATCCAGTCATCTATCTACCTTCGACCACACCTATAAGCAGTGGTAGGTACGATCCCGTCAACTATCTACCTCCGACCACACCTATAAGCAGTGGTAGGTACGATCCAGTCAACTATCTACCTCCGACCACACCTATAAGCTGTGGTAGGTACGATCCAGTCAACTATCTACCTCCGACCACACCTATAAGCAGTGGTAGGTACGATCCAGTCAACTATCTACCTCCGACCACACCTATAAGCAGTGGTAGGTACGATCCTGTCAACTATCTACCTCCGACCACACCTATAAGCAGGGGTAGGTACGATCCAGTCAACTATCTACCTCCGACCACACCTATAAGCAGTGGTAGGTACGATCCAGTCAACTATCTACCTCCAACCACACCTATAAGCAGGGGTACGTACGATCCAGTCAACTTTCTACCTCCGACCACACCTATAAGCTGTGGTAGGTACGATCCAGTCAACTATCTACCTCCGACCACACCTATAAGCAGTGGTAGGTACGATCCCGTCAACTATCTACCTCCGACCACACCTATAAGCAGTGGTAGGTACGATCCAGTCAACTATCTACCTCCGACCACACCTATAAGCAGTGGTAGGTACGATCAAGTCAACTATCTACCTCCGACCACACCTATAAGCAGTGGTAGGTACGATCCAGTCAACTATCTACCTCCGACCACACCTATAAGCAGTGGTAGGTACGATCCAGTCAACTATCTACCTCCGACCACCTCCGACCTATAAGCTGTGGTAGGTACGATCCAGTCAACTATCTACCTTCGACCACACCTATAAGCAGTGGTAGGTACGATCCAGTCATCTATCTACCTTCGACCACACCTATAAGCAGTGGTAGGTACGATCCAGTCAACTATCTACCTCCGACCACACCTATAAGCAGTGGTAGGTACGATCCAGTCAACTATCTACCTCCAACCACACCTATAAGCAGGGGTACGTACGATCCAGTCAACTTTCTACCTCCGACCACACCTATAAGCTGTGGTAGGTACGATCCAGTCAACTATCTACCTCCGACCACACCTATAAGCAGTGGTAGGTACGATCCAGTCAACTATCTACCTCCGACCACACCTATAAGCAGGGGTAGGTACGATCCAGTCAACTTTCTACCTCCGACCACACCTATAAGCTGTGGTAGGTACGATCCAGTCAACTATCTACCTCCGACCACACCTATAAGCAGTGGTAGGTACGATCCAGTCAACTATCTACCTCCGACCACACCTATAAGCTGTGGTAGGTACGATCCAGTCAACTATCTACCTCCGACCACACCTATAAGCAGTGGTAGGTACGATCCAGTCAACTATCTACCTCCGACCACCTCCGACCTATAAGCTGTGGTAGGTACGATCCAGTCAACTGTCTACCTTCGACCACACCTATAAGCAGTGGTAGGTACGATCCAGTCATCTATCTACCTTCGACCACACTTATAAGCAGTGGTAGGTACGATCCAGTCAACTATCTACCTCCGACCACACCTATAAGCAGTGGTAGGTACGATCCAGTCAACTATCTACCTCCGACCACACCTATAAGCAGTGGTAGGTACGATCCAGTCAACTATCTACCTTCGACCACGTCTATAAGCAGTGGTAGGTACGATCCAGTCAACTATCTACCTTCGACCACACCTATAAGCAGTGGTAAGTACGATCCAGTCAACTATCTACCTCCGACCACACCTATAAGCAGTGGTAGGTACGATCCAGTCAACTATCTACCTCCGACCACACCTATAAGCAGTGGTAGGTACGAACCAGCCAACTATCTACCTTCGACCACACCTATAAGCAGTGGTAGGTACGATCCAGTCAACTATCTACCTTCGACCACACCTATAAGCAGTGGTAGGTACGATCCCGTCAACTATCTACCTTCGACAACACCTATGAGCAGTGGTAGGTACGATCCAGTCAACTATCTACTTTCGACAACACCTGCATGAAGTGTAAAACAGATGAGTCTATCCATTATTCTATTCCAAATAGTATAGTTATGAAAAAGGTTGTGTTCACAACATGAGACAGTTTCATAAGTAATTTTATTCAGAGAGTTCAATAAGTTTTAAGAGTGAGATTCTTCATTTCCTCCAGAAATCAATCCGAATCAAGTGTGCAATCCAACATTAAACATATTAGGACAATGCCATGCATTTGATATATACAGGAATATAATCAAACGTTACTTGTACACAGAGTGTCTGCGTTAGAATACTAACTCAAGATATGGTTTCAAATGGTAGACACATGTTGCATTGTTATCCGTCCCGGAGAAGGGATCGTGTGAACCTTTGGGTGTTGACAACATTTCGTCGTTTTCAAACATTTCAAAATTTACATAGGTTTCAACATCAAGTACATGTAGATCAATCACAGATGAGAAAAAAAGTTATTTCGGAGAGGTAATATTATTACAGTGTAGCATCATATTGTTGTCATAATCATAAGAGTGTTTGTTACAAAGCAAACATTCTTTTGAGACTTTTCGTGACGAAATTTTCAAGCATAATTGTAAGGCTGCTCTGTGTTCAGGATATAAAAATGATAAGCTTGAAAGTATGTGATATGTCAATGATGTATGAACTCGCCTGTAACGAGGCAGTCGTGGATTAAGTGATACTTTGTTGCGCCACATTAGCTCGTCATATTCATGTACTTGTTTGTTTACAATTTGTCTTCACTGGTGTTTTGGGGGAAATGAACCACTGTATCAATGAATATATAAGTAGTTTTAAGATTGTATTTGAGCAAGGCAGACTGATGGTCGGATCTTGGTCTCATAATCGGAAACATTTTCCAAACAGTATACTTTATTACTAATAACAAATTAATCTTGCGAGAACTATTAATCTATTCCAGATGTTTTTAAACTTTTTAACTTTCTGAGAAATGAATGATTAACGTGTATGAATTACTCGTTGCATATGTTCATTCGTTTGCGAGAGGCCACACAGTAGAAACAATGCAAGTTGTAATGCATGGCGACGTTACAAGAAAAGTGCATATGTTAACACATTTGTATTAAAATATATATTTACAATAAAAACATAGATATATAGAGAATACTACACGAGGTCTCATTACACACGAATTATACGAAACGAGTGTCCTTCCTATGGTATCTGACCGAGCGAAAGCGAGGTCAGATATCATAGGAAGGTCACGAGTTTCGTATAATTCGTATGTAATGAGACTGAGTGTGGTATTTTATTTATTACCCACGTCTTACATGCATTAAATTGACAAAATAGCGTTTTTTTTTGTTAATATTTTGGTTTCAAACCGAAACCGGTTTCATAAAGAGGTTGCGGAAGAGTTTCGTACTGTAGTACAATATTTGCATGACGTCACACTGTAATGACCTCACTGCCTTGGTAACCGACGTCACGATGCATGTCAGTTGTCATCGCCTCGTACAGCCGCCTACAGTAAACTACTCCGTAGCACCCCGTTTCTTGGTTTGCAGTTGCTACATTCGGCTAACATCACTGGTGGAAATATTGCGTTTACGTTTTTCGACGGATATAATGTCTCAGTTCGACTCACAATTAAACAGCGACACGGCAACGTTCGCGATGTTTACATTCCCACAGTGCATTTAAGTTGTAGAATGAATGAATTCACGTGTTTGTCATGAATGAAAAAATAGTTACGTCAGAATGTGACCTAATTGAGGGGTTATCGGTTATCCAATCAAATCGTTAGAATCTCAGGTCAAGTCGTTACGACACAGGTCAACGCGATACGACACTCGTGTGACGTACGAGATTAGTATGCAACTACCCATACGTTGACCACGTGGGTAATAAATGGATTATATGATATGAGTGTCATATTGAGTCTGCTACACGAATGGCATTAAATAATTCTTTGTTTTTCGTAAGCTTTTGTAGTATAGCATAGTATAAGTAACAATAATCAACAGTAGTCAACATGGACTTCATCATATACATCATGTCTACATCATATGTGTTATCAGATTTGTAGTATAGCATAGTATAATTAACAATAATCACCAACAATAGTCAACATGGACTTCATCATATACATCATGTCTACATCATACGTGTTATCAGATTTGTAGTATAGCATAGTATAATTAACAATAATCACCAACAGTAGTCAACATGGACTTCACCATATACATCATGTCTACATCATATGTGTTATCAGATTTGTAACTTTGCAGTATGTGGTATATGTATGTTTAATTATGTGTCATGTTCACACATGTTTAAACTTTTCATGATATAAATATAAGTCTATAAAAAAGAATTCATAAAAATGAAATGGTACAAGTCAGTCAAAATGAACCGCTTCAGTCATTGCTGAACTTTCAAGTGACTAAAATACAAGGTATTAATTAAACACACAGTCCTAGACGATATATAGTTGTTTCATGAGATACCACATAAATTATTTGATATTGTATAAGTTTTTATTTTAAATACTCCAATATATCATATCCTCAATAATTAGTTGTTTTTTACACAATTTGTATCCTATTAATTTATCAATGTTACGTTGTTCTGATTAGGGTTTCTTTGATATAGAAATAGACAGATTGATATTTGCACCTGTAAAGGGCTTCTATCCAGTTCCTTCCTAGCAAAATTGTTGCGAGGGAGTGTTAGTTCTACAGGACGTACAGTAACTATGTGAACCTAAGATATCATCAAGTTCATCATAATACCGATATCATTTTCACTGGCAATAGGGGCGGTGGGGTAGCCCAGTGGTTAAAGCGTTCGCTCGTCACTCCGAAGAACCAGGTTCGATTTTCCACATGGGTACAATGTGTGAAGCCCATTTCTGGCGTCCCCCCACCGCGATATTGCTGGAATATTGCAAGAAGCGGTGTAAAACTAACTCACTCTCTGGCAATTGACCTTGTGTTACAGGAATCGGTGGTTTTGTCATCACTCTCATACGTATGGTGTCATCCAAATTCTTTACAACCAGTCCTGCATCAGCGACATCATAGTTACCTTCTTCAAACCCCATCTTTATTGCACTGATGTGACTGTATGATTCGTCCAATCTACTGGCGCCGCCTCCTGTCTGTACATGTGCTGTGTCGTAGTGCCCCTCTGTCCCTCCCGTATGGTCGTACAAACCAGCATCGCCTTTCACCTTTGCTGGCAGGGAGTTGTGATCTTTCTCAACACCATCCACAGAGTAGTTCTTGTAGGCTTTCTTAATGTGACTGCTGGGGTTTACTGTGGCCCTCGGAGTGGATGACTGCCCAGCAATTGTGTTTGGGTTTATAACAGAATATTCCCCATTATCTCTCGGCACATCTGTACAACAGGTCGCGTTATCTGTGGGCATGTTGAAGTTCATCTGATGATTCGTATCTTCTCTCTCCAAACGGATTTTTCGTTGCCTGCAATATGATGAGAGTATAAACTGTCTCTCCATACATGTTTGACTTTGAGTCATTTTGTGAACAATAACTGGCGTGAATGATTGAAGTAGTGCTAAATGTATGTATTCATTACGTTTCCTCTAGACGTAGCACGTGTAACATATTGTATATGTGACATTTTGAAAAAAGTTAAAACAAGCTGCAGATTGATAATTAATGGACACCTGACATTTTAAGATAAACTGTAAGGGCGATAAAGGATATCTACAAAAGAAGTCTTATTTCACAATTTTGGACAATTAGTTACTCAAGGAAAAATAGTACACTTAACACTTAACACTGCAGCTGTAGCAGTTTTATGATGTTGAAAGAAGAGCCTGCTTGAGATCTCACCTTCGCACAAAGAAGACAACAGCGATGGCAATGAGAAGAAGGACACCGATGCCTGCACCCAGACCGATGTGAAGACCTGGACATAAACACACAGAGTACACATTAATAACAGATATATAATCACTCAACATTATTTCGTTTTGTTTGGGTTGAACATCTCTATGTGACATGGATATATCAAACTTGTAACTGTACTGCTACCTTACCTGTCTGTGTATCATTGCTATTGGAGCTAAGAGAGGGTGTAAATGAAAATTGAAAGCATATTACTGCCACATTCCAAGAAAAATATTTCAGCTTTGTAGAAGATAATTTCATCTACGCAGATTATACTACATTATTTATGTTAATGATATCATAATTTACTTAGGTAGAAGGCATCATCTGGTATCGAATTATCGACTTGGTTTTAACCATGTTTTCGGGTCTGTTTTTTTTCTTTTGACGTCTGGCTTAACTCATTAAAATATCGAAGTTTTGTTAAATGTTATCGATCTGTTTGGGTTTTAACACTGATGGACAATTTGAGATGATTCCAATACGTTGTCGAAGATAAAACACACTGGAACCTAATTGTGCAAGTCAAAACACGGAACTGTGAGATGATGTGCCAAATTTGAAACAGTTCGTTAAGCACTGATTTGACATTATTGTTACCTTCACAAATAGAAGCAAGATGGAGAGAGCACGGTAACCAGTACAACTTCCTTGTTCTATTGGTTTTCAAAGCAAGGCACATTTGTATAGGCGAGTTCAAAAACGGGTAGTAATCTTCATATCCATAGGCGTTATTTCCTGGAAACATAAATGCATAGTTCACTGTAGCATTTATGAGCACTTTCTTGGGCATGTATGCATTCAACTGAGTGTGTTGAATCAAGTGGGGAAATCCATTTAATATTACCTGACAAATCATATTGCACACAAACGCTTACTTTCCCTGACTTCCCATTGACGCTTTAACAGTGATTCAGTTACTTTACAGAGTGAAAGGACTCACATACCTGCACCAAGTGTATACACTGACATCCCAGTGCTGTTTCCACACTTTTCATCTAGGTTGCCCGGACACTGCATCTCTCCTGCACTGGTATTTGTAGCTTCATATGTCTCGCTAAGACAATAGCATTTGTTGCCCTAATTACAACAAGGACACTTTCAGAAAACTATATACTGTACTCAGTAACATTAATGTCATGAAATGTTAGTCTATTCCAAGTGGAGTCCTTCAATGAAATTGTGTATAGTAAAATATTAACAATGATAATAATAAAGTGTTGTCAAAAAGTCCAAATCTTTACAGCTCCAGGGCCTGATGACATTCGAAGCCGTTACTGGAAACTGTTCTCCTGTGTCCAAAAACCATTACTTCACTGTGTCAATTCTCTCGTTGACACAGGTGATGTTCCTCCATGGTTCTGCAGAGGTCGCACAATACTCCTTCCAAAGAAAGGAGGCCTGACTAATCCCAAAATCTCCCGGCCTATATAACGTGTTTAAATACACAAAACAAAATCTTTACAAGGTGTTTGAGAAAGCTTGTGTCATCCGACTGATCTTCCAGTAATTTATACAGAGCAGAAGGGAGCAAGGAAGGGATGTTGGGGATGCAAGGATAATTGTTTTGTACAGAAAATGATTTGGGAAGAGGCTAAAACATATCTCCGCAACCAGCATGTGCTGGATTGACTATACAAAAAAGCATATGACTCTGTCCCTCATGGATGGATTCTGAAGTCTCTTCATTGTATTGACCTGCCAGAGCGACTACTTGATCTACTCAAGTCTTTAATGAGTTGCTTGTCGACTCAACGCGGGATGTACTCGCAAGGGTATGTGCAGACTTCGGAATCTATTCTTATAACAAGGGGAATATTCCAGGGGGACTCCTTTAGTCCTTTGCCTTTTTGCCTGTCTTTAAATCCTTTGAACTTTCTCATTAATAAAGAGGAGGGTTACCATCATGGACCTCCTCAGCATAGACAACCAACAATGCTTACTCATCTCCTTAACATGGATGACATCGAGCTCCTTCCCAAAGGCGATACCAAATTGAAAGAACAGTTTCTCCTCGTTGAGTCGTTTTCTAATGATACTGGCATGATATTGAGACTCTTCAAATGTAATACTCTTTATTTGAAACGTGGCAAGGTAATTAATGGTGGATCGGTCAAGTTACCGTGTGGAGGAGTTATTGAGCATCTTGTGGCAGATCAGGCCTGCACCTATCTTGGAATACAACTTTGGACCGAGTATAAAACTTGCTTAAAGAAAATCTGGAGCTCAGAGCTAAATACTCGAAACAAGGTCAAAGTCACCAATACTGTTGCTGTGCCAGTCCTTTCCTATTCCTTTGGAACAGTTGATTGGAGAAAACCAGATATCCAGAGTCTTGACTGCCTGACTAGAAGGATCATGTCTTATAACACAGCCCACCAACCTCGTTCCTCTCTTAATCGTCTATATATGCCAATTAGTTCTGGAGGTCGGGGTTTGATAAATGTGGGGGCTTTTCATGATAGCATTTTATTGTGTTCTTTTCCACATATTTATTTATCGGATGATCCTCTGGTGATGCATGTCAAGACTCATGATGAAATTCCATAGCTATTTTCAGCGCGCCAAGGTTGTTGGACAGAATCTCAAATTTGAAGTTGATTTTGTTGATACCGATGTACTGCTGGGTGGTACAGCGACGTGAATATACCAGATGAAGTCCTTCACCAAATCTGCCCAGAGTCGGTCATTTGTGAAGACACTTTCTGGGAAACCACTGCATCGTGTGTACATGTAGTGTGTGGAACAGAATAGCAATCCAACCGACTCCTTCGCCTGGATGAAGTCTGCTGGTCTAAAATGTGAAACTGAGGGCTTCCTTTTTGCTGCTCAGGATCAGTCACTTCCCACTCGCAATCGCCAAAATGTTATTATTAATTGATAATATTAACAGGAAATGTTGAATATAAAATGAATTTACAGAGACTGTCCAATGCCTGTCAGTGGATGCCGTTCTTTGGCACAAACAGCATACCTTAAACAATATGATTCAGGAGAAGCATGCTAAATATGCGGACCTCGCCTTTGAAATGTCTCGCTTGCATCCCAAGCTCACTGTCGTCAGGCTGTCGCATTGTTCTCGGTGCCCTTGGTTTGGTACCTCCTGATCTCTTGGCGCAGGTCAGGAGAGTGACCGGGTTCTTCACCGGCAGCACAACCTGGGCACTCTGGGTAATGCAGAAGGTTGCAGTGTTGGGGAATCCACATATTCTCCGGAAAGTTCTTGGTGGGTTAAACAAGGCAGCGTTTCCTGGAAGAAGTCCGGATCGCTGTCTGGGCTGCGTATAAGGGGGGGCAAAGGCCCTGAGCTGATGATGAGCCCTACCAGCCTGACTGTGCCAGGATCACCCGACCCCTCTCTGCTGCATTTTTATCTTAATCTGTGAAACATATGAATAATAATGGTGTATCACTGGTTTAGAGAACGTCGACAGGAAAGGTCTTTTGTTAGCCTTGAATGTTCTTCCGATTCCAAACCCTCTCCTGCTCGTGACCTTTCTGATGACCGTTTTGCATTTTGTTCATGCCTTTATATTCAAATCTGTTTCAAATTGAAAAAATGAGGCGAGCTATAAAAATTAACACAATATTTCCACAGAACCAAAATGAAAAATATCTCTGAATGCGGACTATTCTTTTCCGGACATCAACATCTCGAACATTGGAGAAAATCCATTTAGCTTCGTATTACAATTTGTACAAGTCAGTAAATGTGTTTATTGCAGATGTGGAATCTTATGTTTACAATTTGAGCTACTTTCTTCCGTGCAAGTGCATGTGCACCTTCTCAGAACGTACGGTACATCTATTTCTTTACGTCATTACGTCTAACGGCAATACGTCTACTCAGCATTTTTTCGCATTCTTACACTGAGTCCTGGCGAGGTGGGGTTAACCTGCCTTTTCAGGGTGAGACTCCTGGTGACGCAGCAATCTTGAACATGTCAACCAATGAAAATCGTCATCAACGGAGTAGTCGCATTTCATTTCTCAAACGAAAACCAATGAAAACAATATGGCGGGGTGAGTATGTCGGCATCGGCACTCTTCTATCCGATGAAGGTAGTATCGAATGGTTACAAAAACAGGTAACATGAGTTTGAAACTGGTCAAAGAGCCAACAAGAAAGCTAACAATTGACAGCTGGACATCCCCTTTCCATATTTACATGAGTTTATACCTCGGTAAACATTCCAGACTGCCAGGCAGAAACTGAAAACAGGCAAAATAATCAAGAAAACTATCAAAGTTTGGGACAATGAATCAATCGAAAACCTCCGTGCATGCTTTGATTGCACAAGCTGGGATATGCTCCTCGCTGATGTAGACAACATCGATGGAAGCGTTGATGTAATCACTGATTACATAAACTTTTGTATAGACAGCATTGTCCCCGCAAAGCAGATTAAAATCTATCCCAATAACAAGCCCTGGGTTTCGAAAGAGTTAAAACTCTTGCTCAATGAATAGAAACATGCTTTCCAACTCAAAGACAACACAAAACTCCGAGCTGCCCAGAAAGAATTATATGTTCAAAAAAAATAAAATAAGAGCCTAGCAAGCAATACAGACCATGATTGGAGGCACAACACGTCGCCAAACTTTCAACGTTACTGACGAAGCGTCACACGCAGAGGATCTCAACTCCTTCTACGCCAGATTCGATGACATCAACTACACATCTGAACTAAAGGATATCACTAACTCGATCACTGTGGACAACACCCACTAGATTACGATAACTGAAGACGAAGTGTGAAGTGCATCCAAATGGATAAACACCCGGAAGTCACCTGGACCCGACAACATCTCTGGTAAAGTACTGGGACTTGCTTTTCGAAGCTCTCTTAGCACTAAGATAGTCGTAAGTTAATGTTAAGATATGGCACTTACGACTATCTTAGCGCTAAGAGAGCTTCGAAAATCTAGGCCCTGAAGGAATGCTGCTCAGAACTCTGTTTTCAGTAAACTATTTGAAGAATATAACTCTCACAATATTCTACGAATATGGAAACTTTCCAAGATTATTCCAGTTCCAAAGATCCCAAGATCTAAAGAACTTAACGATTATCGACCAGTGGCGTTGACATCTATTATCAAGAAGTGTCTTGAACGAATTATGCTCCGACTTCTCCAGTGCGATGTTAAAGATTACCTTGATCCACAACAGTTTGCATACAAGGCTAAGCGAGGTGTTGAGGATGCCACAGTGACCCTACTACATGCAATCACGAAGCATCTTGATTCACCCAAAACGTATGCCCGTGTTTTATTTGTGGATTTTAGCTTTTAATACTATACAACCTCATTTTGATCCTACAGAAACTGTGTGCTTTGAATGTTAATCCTCATATTTCTCTCTGGATAAGGGACTTTTCAACCAACCGTCTACAATATGCACGAGTCAATTCGACATACTCTAAAACACGTATCTTAAACACAGGTGCCCACAAGGATGTGTACTTTCCCTAGTCCTCTTTACATTGTATACTAATGACTGCAGAAGTGATGTGAATCAAACCCTAACTGTAAAATTTACCGATGAGGCTGCATTAGTTGGATTAGTAAGTAACAACGATGATTCACATTACCACCACGCAATAGGACAGTTCTGTAATTGTTGTCATGACAACGTCCTAGTTCTTAATACGAAGAAAACAAAGGAAAAGATTAAAGACTTTAGAATAAAGAAACCCGCTTCCAAAATCCACTTTTCAGAACTAACAGGGCATCAAAATCATTTATTCCAACCATCATCGCTATTTTAAACCAGTAAATCGGTTTATCGGTTTTATTCTCATGCGTCATTTTACGCCCCGTTGACTTATTATCTTTTGTATTTTAAATTTGTAGCTTCTGCATCAGGCATTTACCTCAATGTTAATTTATTCACTCTGTTTAGAGTGCTAATTTTTATTCTGTAATTTTAATTATACATCACTTAACATAATATTCTTTTTACCCAACTGTACATTTTCTTTATACCAGTTATCATTGCTCTGATGTGGTTGAATGTATTACTTGTTATGTGTGTCATGTCATAGTCCCCTTGTGTAAATACTGTGTTGTTTAGGTGATTCTCATACTGTAACATGTAC